AAAAAAAAACGATAAAAAGTTAACGATCTACCTTCTACATTGGCAATGGAATTGTCTATATGGCAGGTGAAAATGATGACTACGGCATCACGAGATTTGCTAAAAAAGCAGCATACCAGCAATGCTAATAGGCTATGCGAAATGTAAATGCGCTTTTCTTTCACCAATGGGATTAGTTAATACTCCTCTAATCAACATTGAACTCAATAAGCATTTAGGAGGATCAGCCTTATAAAAAAGAAATGAAACAAGTGTATTTTTAAAATATTATTTTATTAGTTAACAGTTAGAAATGCATTTATTTAACAGGAATCATAATTTTTATAGGTATATTTAGCTTATGTTGAGAACGTATCTATAAAAAAAAAAGTCAGTAAACCGCCTATTTCTAGAGTCAATAGCCATCAAGCGTCAACAAGGCTTAGACTGACGCGAAGGCCAGCGGGTCCAAGTCGAAACTTAATGGAAATATGGTGGAAGTATAGCTACTAGGCTTAGACTGACGCGAAGGCCAGCGGGTCCGTTCGCCTACAACGTTGGCATATTCAACAATGGGTGGAAGTATAGCTACTAGGCTTAGACTGACGCAAAGGCCAGCGGGTCCGTTCGCCTACCACGTTGGCACGTGTACTATTGACCGTTTTACTGAGTAAGTTTAAAAAAAACTTACATAGAATTTGCAAAATTGAAGAATGAGAAAAAAGAGAGAAAAATAAAAAAAACTTTTTATTAAACTTAAATAGTTTCTGTGGTTTACCCAAAAATAATTTCTCTGTGATGCACTAATTTTTTTCCAAAAATGTGCACATGATGTAGAAATATTTTGGTTGTGCCGAATATAAAAAACATTTAGAGACAACCCCGCTAGCGTAAAGTGTGACAAGAAATTTTTAATGAAAATATCGCTTTTACACCTCATTTTTAAAATCACTTTATTTTACATTAACAACTCCAAATGACTAAAGTTTTTGACAAAAGGTTCAACCAAAACCAAGAAAAAATATAAACATTGCCGAGAAACCGATTTGGCTGGAATTTACTGGTTAATCAAAGTCGGAACCAAGCAATCTAAGATCGCTGAGGTCATGAGCATACCCAAACAAACTGTCAGTCGAATTAGCAAAACGCAAAAAAAGCGAACAGTATTTTTGTGGGAAAATAGAAAGAGAGACCTACCAAGGATAATAATAGATTAGGTCGCCATATACTTCAATTAGTAGAAGCAGAGCCCTTTCATTCCTAGGACGAAATTAGGGCCATTTTAGTTAATGGTGCAATCCACGTTTCTCGCCCCATATTGATCAATATACTTTGAGACAAGAGGTTTAACTCATATATTGCTGTTCACAAACCTTTTATGAAGGAAAAGAATGTAAAAAAAACGCATGGACTGGTGCCAAAATCACCTTAATCATTCCCTTGATAACTGGGACAACGTAATCTGGTTAGATGAGTCTCAATTCACGGTAAAAACGAAGTTTGGTAAAGGAAGTGTCTTTGTTTAGGGATGTTTTTGGCGGGGTAAAACAGGGCCTTTAGTCTTCTGGATCCTCTTTACTAATCTCGGCTGCGGTTCTCTTCTTTCCATTATTAGCTTTTCTCTCTTTTTTTTAGTAGCCTGTGTTTTTTTTTTCTTGGTGGAGGTTTTCTTATAACAGCGTGAACAACGCTAGACGAGTGAATAGTCTCAATAACGATATGAGATTGCGCTCTAGTTTTTGGTTGTTTTACTATAGCAGAGCTGCTACTTTTTGAACTAGCTCAATTATTCCTCATATTAATATGAAACCCAGCTTCATCAATGAAAATACAATTTTTTGTAAAATCCAGATTAGAATCTTTCCGTTCCATAAACCACTCGAATCTCGTCTGTAGATTTCCCACTGAGTTTCTGACTTCAGGCTCAAACATCGGCTTTTTCATAGTGATGAGCATTGTGTTTCGTAAATGGTTATTAAGTTGCGACTTTGATATAGTAAAGCCTTCAAATCGCTCGGTCAAACTAATTATTATGTCGTCTGAATATAACAGGGAGTCATTATCGAGTAGCTCTTTTATATACTCGTTATGCTCGGTTGTAAATGGGCTTTTTGGACCACTGTCTTGTTCAGACTTTTTATGCTCAACCTCTTCTGCCCCTTGGTAATACTTCCACCATCTTAACACAGTGCGGTAATTAATATTTAAGTCTCTTGCAACCTTGGCCACTAGTCCACGCTCTTGAGGATTTTCAAGCGTACGGTCTATAAATGTTTCTCTGGTGAAGTCGCTGTAATTGTTGTATAACTTCACTGATGGCTTCAACTTACTAGGCTTCGACTGCTTTTTAACTGAGGACTCTTCAGCATTTTTTTCGGGGCGCTTAACGCTCAAGAAAATTTGTCGGCTAGTTATTGTTTCAAGAACTATGTAAGAATCATCGACATGTGTTAAAACATCTTCCATCGGATCGTAAACTTTTTCCCCTTCTTCATTAAAAATGCTTTCATGTCCATCATAAAAAAAAGATATTCATCATTATGTTATATTTTTATTAGAAAGAGAAAGGGACAAAAACAGGTGTAGAAGATATGCGACAATTAGGCACAATCTTCCAGCCAATTTTAGTTAGCTAGTTCTGACAACTGTTTTAACCAAAGTGGACAAAAATAATTTAAACTCATGGCATATATTTTGTTTATTTGTTTAAACATGATGGTCCAAATGAGTGCAAAAATAAAATAATAAAATAAACATCCGCCCGGGCCCGTTCAATCCGTTTGGAGGTGAATGGTAGCGAAAAAACCCCTTATTGGTACAAGAATAAAAAATGTAAAAGGAAATTAATGAGTAGGGTTATCGATGAAAAAGTAAATGAATTGCTTTAACCACACAAGAAACGTTTGGCCATGAGGATGCTTACTGAAGATCAATTTGTTATGATGTAGCTGATCTAATTCATGTAGCAGGGAGCATATAATCGGCCACCATTGAGGCCAGGTTAGGGCTAGGTTTGGGGGAACCGAAGGGCGTAAAGGCCATTTGTTTTTGAGAAAACGCCAAATTCCATAGGTTTGACTGTACAAGCATAAATTTTTTTTTTTTTTTTTTTGTAGGGGCGTTTTTAGCCAAGATTTATTTTTAAATAAATAAAATAGCCACTTGAAATCACTGGTGGACTATTGAAAGACAGAACTACTAAAGAAAATTAACAAATATAAAATTAATGCTTGAAGGATTCCAGGCACCCAATGATAGCCCGAAAAACCTTGGATGGGATAAAAGGATGTCCATTGAAAATAAACATCCAGTGTGCACGCCAGATGCACCAAGTACAAGCATAAATAATGTCAGTGACGACAATAATATAAATAGCAGTCATAGATTCTCTACTCAAGTAAACCCACACACAAACTTAGTTTAATAATATTGAGCTCTTCTTAATAAAGAATCTAATTCGCAAGTCATCGACTTAATAGCCTTTTTAAACTACAACTAAAGCTGAATACAACAGAAATAACTTCGAGCTCGCTATCCACCCAAAACGTACAATGTTGATGATTATACTCATCTCTTAGAGTCTTTAAGTAGCATTCGTGGTATATATGACAGGAAAAAAAGCCTTGATACCAATTGGTTAAATTTATACAAGGAACTCAAGAGATTAAACAATGATTATGATCCAAATATTCAAGCAGAACACAGCGACCTCAATTTCTGCACCCACTTATTACTTGTCTACGTGTCCTCGCTGTACCTGCTTACTTTCTCACCAAGCTCCGTTCAATAGTTGACCAATTCATCAATTCCAAATCCTTTCCGAAGGACAGCTTTGACACTTGTCGGCGCCCGCGAAAGGAGAGCGGCTTAGCGATTCTGGATCTAGCTACCCAACTTCATGCACTTCAGCTACGTTGGCTCCGACCACTCGTCCAGCCTGACACGGAATCAAATTACAGCCATTTCTTTGCCCTACAAGCGCTACAGTACTGCTTATGTAGCTTCTCTGGTAGCCCCAGTCATATTCTGCCTTTGGCCATTGCAAAATTACGTTCGCCGGATGTAAAAGCAACGGGTTGCTGCAAGCTCCTATTTCGGATAATAGACATGCTGGATTTCTCTGTTAACTGGGAGGTGTTGAATATATCGTTGATCTTAAAGATCCCAGTTTCGCGAATATACCTTGATTTACCGACTTGGAACGATTGTAGTCGCCGAGCAAACTGGGGCCAACTGCGCATAAAGGATATTTTCGAATATAGCCCAATTCACAACTGCTTGCGACGAAAACCTCACTTGTCGAACACGAAGTTTAAATATCGGATACGCCGATTCTATTCCTTGTCAGCAGACGATCAGAGCCCAGTACACTCCTCCATTGCGGTCTTATTTACACCGCACAACCTCAGGCCAGACAACCAATTCCTGTATACGCTTTATCGGATGCCTCAACCTAAATTTGAAGATCTAATGACGGTAGAGCTACCAGGAGCCATGGACTTTCACCATATAACACTCAAGCTATTCCAGACTTCACAACTACTCCCCATTGATGCCTTACCGGTCCACTATCCGCGTGGCTCTGCTACGGCATGGCGCATTTTCTGACTATCATCCTTCTCGTATCAGGCGCACACCGTACTCTGGGGATATTACCACCGCAAATTGCCAACACGCTAGCGTATCCACCGGTTTTGTCTGGATCGACACTTAGATCCTTACTGTCTCCCATGTGGAGGCGTCGAAGATGATGAGCACTTTATGGCCTTGTATGCTCAAAAAAGAAACCTGGCCACGCATTGTAAATCGCTTTTTACAACCTGCTGCGAGGCTTAGCTATGAATCTCTGGTCTTAGGCTCGTCTACACCTATACCAGTGCTTTCAGGATTACGTGTTGATGGCCAAACAGTCATTGCCTATACGGTCTGGGTTATCTGGCGTTGTGTATCTGATGGTCGTACCTTCTGGCACGATGAAGCTGCTGCACGAGCAACACAAGCAATCAAGCGAATATATGATGAAAATGTCTATAGAGAGCGTTTAAAGTCATCTCGCTCGGGTTAATGCAACCCTTTTTGTTTTGTTTCATGCTTCTATGATCCTTATTATTTTCTTTAATAAATACAAACCCATTGGCGGTACTTGAATAAAGTATACCATTTTACAAAAAAAACTTCCTGGAAAGAGTGTATCTTTAGGTAACCAATGCTGTACTACAATCTTTTTGCTTCTTTACTTCCAATTCCTTCACCAGGGGAAAGCATTCTTTTCAACATCACATACACATTACTTGTTTCGAGTTCGAAAAGAGTTTACCATTAACCACGATTAGCACTATGTCAAAGCACGACAATAGAAATTGCGAATCAAGGCAACAAAAAGCGACACATTGTCAAGCTTAAAGGTCTACGTTGTGGTGCTACTGAGAATTTTGGTAAAACATTGCCAAACAGCAAAGCTAAAGTTAGGACAATAACACCTGATTACTGTTGAAATAGTGGTTGGGACTCATAATGAAAATGTAAAGCTGTTTTGTGCAAAAGACTTTTTGTCTTTTGATTCTCAAAAGGACACATCATTGCACACAGATATTGCTGCCTTTACAACTCAAACAGCAACGAAAGGTTCATTGCTAGCTATTGGAACCCAGAGATGTAGTGCTCTTGCTAACACCTTTCAAACAGGATCCATTACATTCAACATTATATGGCCGTAGCTTATTCAGCCATGGGGAATCTCATTTATCAACTTGAACAACTGAGATCTAAGCTTCACTTCATCCTTTTGGATAAGCTCTATCAACAGCAATCATGCACTACAGCCATACACTATTTGGACCATTTGCGACAACGATGACAAGGTCTAATTCCAAAGCATTTCGAACTATAACCACTGAAGGCATCAAAACAGAATAATCCATTAATTGAAAGGAGTATGATCTAGTCATACAAAGGACGACTACACAATGAATGGAAAAGTTTGTAATTATATCTGAAAACAAGCATAAAAGATAAAGTATATATATTTATATAAATGTTTATTGAAACATAATAAAGTCTTGGAAAAAAAAAAGACTCTCGACTCTAATGAGTTTATTTACTTTCCTCCTTGATTTATGGTCTTTGAGATAAATCATAATAAAAGAAAAAAGTATATTTTTTACTTTTTGTAGTAATTATAGAAGGTACTCATATCAGCAATACGATGATGTTCAAGTAATAGATTTCATTGTTTATAGTTGATTACAGAGAAAGCAACAAGCCCTACTTAGTGACAAAATGCATTGTATTAACAATGAAAACAAAAAAGGCTTAATATGTATAAAACAATGCTTCGACGCATAGTAGCGAAGTACATAAAATTAGCACCACGATGGACAAGATGGCTTTAAATAGAGCATTGTATTACTCCCAGAATTGACTACTAAAAAAAGGGGGAGAGAAAACAAATGGGAACAAGGGCCATAAAGTGATACATGGCCCGTAGATTCGTTAGGCTAACATCGATATAAGGAGCAATGTGCTGCCCAAGTCGTCTGGCTGTGCAATTCGCAGTTAATGCATGAATAGTACAGGGTTTGGAATATTCTGAATTGCTTCAATTTTTTTTAAGAAAAAGAACCCAATTATAACGAGATATATGTCAACGTGCTACACATATTAAATAATAAAAATGACAATGTAGTATTATTATTTACTATTTTACTTATTTAAATGCATGTGTTTTGGCTGTTTATATTATTTATTTCTTTATTTTCTTTTTTTTTTTTCTACAATTCAAAAAAGACGGCCTTGAACTTTTGTTGCACAACAGCTGAGAACTGATGACTGTCAATAAAGGAAACACTAATCTCCTTATTTGGAAAGCAAACCTTCTCTGGAAGAAAAAGAGCGTTTAGAATAAAGAATCTGCCTTTTTGTCAAACAAAGCAAATCAGGCACACGACATTATTTATTATTAGAATCTAAAAAAAGGAGCGGTCAGCACTGTTTTCGAGGTTTGGCCAAAATAACAATTTATTTTTTAAAAAAAAGTAGATGCATATACATTTAATATTGATAAAAGAAAGGGATCAATACAACGTAAAAAATAAAGAAAAAAAAACATAACGCATAAGTAATAGCGTGAATAAATATTATTATATTATTATTAATGATGAAATGAAAGAGAAAGGAGGAGGTAAAAATTAGCAATAGCATACACATATATATACGAGGGAGGGGGGAGTGATCAAGGTGAGTATGTAAATGGGATAAATGTGTTTCCAGTCTGCTGATGGCTGCTAGATGTCGCGAGATCTGAGTAATATTTGTGGTGACAATATGAGGTATATGAAGGAGTCCTTCTTTTTACTGTATCTGTTACTAAGCATAAAGGATTCAATTGGTTTTCGGTATACATAAAATAACTGTCTGGTTGTAAGTAATGGTTATGTTCATGTAGCCCAAGAGAAGGCAGAGTCATGTAATGGTGGTATCCGAGTGTAGGAGGATGAAGATTATGCCATGACGTAGGTGGAGAAGGAGACAGGGGCTGTGGAAGTTGTAATTGAGGAAGAAGGGGGTGCTTTGGCTCAATTTTGTCTTGTCCCAGTGCCAACATTGTTTCACTTCGTTCAATCAATTGCCTTACAAAACGCAGCCTGGCCCCCGAAGATAGTTTGCATGAGTCTGTCAACTTTTGATGAACCTTCAAATGTCGTCGAAGATTTGATAGCACCGAGAATCGACGACCACACCCTTTGCTAAATTGAAACATATCAATTATCATATCATACTACACGCTTTTTTTTCTTTACCTTTGACACTGGAAAGGTTTCTCACCAGTATGTGTATAAGAATGAGTGGTTAATGCACTTGGACGGTTAAATACTTTAGAGCACTTGTCACACGGGTATTGCTTCTTGTTGTTTCGTTTTGAATCTTTTCTGTTGACAAGATCAGAATTTACCGAGGCAGGCGTGGATGAGGAAGATGAGCTAGCAACTGAGGAGTGTGGGCTTGAAGTGCAATAATCTGAGCAAGATAGTTGAGTAGTTGCTTGTCTTGACATTTTATTCTATCAAAATAAAAAAGAAGAAAAAGAAGTTTCTTCATATATATAATATTTTATTCTGCTAGAATTCTTAGGAGAAATCACAAAATAAGCTTTTTTGCATACAACAGACAAGTAACCTTGATTGATTTGAGCACAATGAAATTCAATGAAGCTCTATTTACATAATGAAATGTTCAAAACATCTACTAAATAGGGAAAAAAATATTTCTGTAAAAAAGAGAAAATACGGAGAATGACCATATGAGTAAACATGGGTCATCAAGGGTACATTCAAGTGCCCAATAACACAGACATGTATATATTTTTAATTATAAGTTAGAGAGAGAGAGAGGATCATTTCAGATCGTATATTTATTCAAGAAAGGTACTTCCGATATGTCCAATTTAGTAAAGATGGTCAAACCATCGAAAAGGGACCTGTGTCTGGTTCGATCAATCATATTCAGTACACCAGTCATGATCTTGTTTGACACTCCCCCTCCCTTGTTTAAAAGCCAGGCTCATTTTACACAAGCAATTACTCAAAAAAAAAAGAAAAAAAGAATGGCATTCAGAAGTCATCCTTCTTTCTTGTTAACCCCTTTTGCTTGTATAAATAAAAAAATATATAAAAAAAAAAAAAGAGGGGCAATTTTCGATAAAAATCGGCGATTTCCACAAATGATGGCAGGCATCAAGTCAAATATAAATATTGGGGACCAGAAAATGAGCGCAGATCTGTTTGTTTATATGTAAGAATTCTAACTTGTATGAGAAAATAAGGAAAGTTTGTCTAGTCACGTTTTTATCTTCCTTCTTTTTTGCTAAAATAAGGAAGAAAAAGCATAATTTTGTAACTTCTAGAAAAAGAACCATTTCTTCCTACTAAGCTGACCATCTTTTTAAGCAAAAAAAGCTGAATACGTATCTTTTTTTATCTGTGCACAAGTTAAAGTTCATGACCAGAGACTATATATCAACAGATAAGATTCATAGCCCTTAGGATCCCCCCCTCATTTCCCAGCCATTTTTAGAGCTTAATTTAGTTTACAAGATTTCATTACTAGTTAGGCTAAAATTTGATCCAGATTGGAAAGAGAATTACGGTATGGAATCTATGATACAAGTACAAAAAAAAATATAGAGCCTATATAACCTTCTGAGTTATTCTTTAGAGAACAAGATTGTCAGTGTCACTTTTAGACAGTTGGTGTCGCTTCATGTCATTTTTGAGTTTTGACCAAGAAAGCTCTTTTATTGGACAGAGTAAAAATCTCCTCATTCTTGCAGCTATTGCTGTTCTGCTGACCTTAAACTCTCGTCAATATCCGCACTTCAGGAACACTCGTATCTCAGAATGATTCTTTTGCATATAACAAATTCTTTTATTAAACGTGGTTGTTGACTAAATTAGGCACTAGAAACAAATCTGATGTTTGAAGCATGCTCTCAATATGGTTCTCCCCAAAAAAGAAGTCAAGAACAGCTTTAATTTTTAATTTACCAGCTGCATGGATTCATTATTCTTCTTTTTGTAACAATGCGTATACTGTCATTATGTGACACTGTTGACACTCTATTTGACAAGGGCATAGTACACAATTGCATTCTTTAATTAATAACAAGTGTATTCACACAACCTACGAACTTCCTCTTTTTTTTTTGCTGCTATCTTTTTTGCAATGAAGCAAAGCTTAAGTGTTGTTCCCGTATAGACGTTTTTTCTTTCGCTTAGTCACATGTGTAACCATTACTGGAAGCCTTTCTGTTTTTTCGTATCACACTGCTGCAAATGGGGATGAAGGCCAAGTATGTAGCTATATACCTTTAAACCGCGGTCTTATTCTAAGATTGGATCGTATTCTCCTCGATACGCAAAAATCAGGCCATTCACTTTTTAGGTAATTAATGTGGGGGAAAGCATAAACTGACGATGACGAAGCGAATGGTGAGTGTCCCCTCCCTCTTTTGTGCCTTGTCTCAACGTCAATTGTCCGTAGAAACGACTGACAGTGTGTATTTGTTAATTGGTTTAATCTGATGAGTTATTATAGATCTTAACGATGGCAAGAAAGTGACCCTCTTTTGTAATCTTCAAATCATTATTATACATTGCTTCGCTCAAGCATGCCCTAAAGATATTACAGGAGTAGGCTTCTCTGAGGAATCAGATGTAATCAATTATTGTTCAGAAACATGATTATACTATGTGACAAAGGAAAAGGAAAAGAGTTCAAGTGATAACGTTCAGATTGAAGCAAAGGAAAAACCAATTCTGATACTGATGTGCGGATATAGTTCAAAGCATGGTATGTCTGGACCAAGGGAGCAATAACAACTAATAGTAGCAACACCATCTCCAAGTCAACCCAAAGAGAGCTCAAGTGTGAAATGTGTTTTATATGAAAAAGGATATAACCTTCTCATATAGTTAAATAATGGTTTATCAATAGTTCATTCCGTATATTGTTTCTCTTAATGACGATCATTTGTACAAGAAGTAACAAGATATATCGACTGGTAATGGGGAAACAGGACTTAGAAAAGATCTTTTTCGATCAATCGGATAACATACTGAACAATAAAGTATCTGCCTTTTTCTTCTTTTTCCTAATTTAGAAATAAAAAGCATATAAATAGTGCATTAATGAATCCGTAAATCCGTGGCACTCATTGATATGTAAAACGACATTTTAAATCTTATCGATGTCGTCGCACGTAAAAAAGACTTTGAGGTAAAAGACAATTTCTATTTTTGATAACCTCTGTGTGTTGTCTTTTTTTGAGAAAAAAAAAAAGGTGTATTACGAACTTTACAGGGGAAAAAAAAGAGAGAGAGAGATGGTGTAAGGGAAAAGAATTCTGTAGGTATACATCAAACAAGTAAAGAAAGAAAGAGAAAGTTAGACCATACCACTAAGTTCTCTTTCTAGCTCATCTACTTCCATATCACGAATAGGGCGATGATGAACAGCTGTTTCAGCAACACCTGCTATACCAGAGTCTGTGTTATCAGCTTCTTGGGTGGCTCGAGCTTGAGCTGCTGCCAAGGTCTCACGATCTTGGGCGGACATACTTGGATGAAATCAATAAATATTCCCTTTTTCATCTATATAAACTAACCTTTCTCTTCTTCGCAAGTTTGCACCTGTGTTGGCAGTGGGCTGAAGTGATTGCTGTTTGGATGCTTTATATGTCATGACTTCTTGTGCAATCATGCGACTCATTTCTTCAATAGAGTCTACAACTTCAAAAGAAAAGTCAAAAGTCTGCGTATGTACAGGCTAATGGGGATATTTGTTAGAAAAGATGAATTGATGGTTCATTCATTACCTCGTCGTCTTCATCATGATAGGCGCTAAGGTATGGATGAGCAAGAGCTTCTTCTACAGTGATACGCTTAGATGGATCAAATTCTAATAACTTGTTCAATAGATCAATAGCTAAGGGGTTGGCTACATAACAACAAGAGATGAGTTTTAAGAAATAACAAGATGAATAATACCTCTTGGATATAAGTTTTCAAATGGAATTCGGGGCATTCTAGGTAAGCTTCTGATATATACTTGAGCTCGTTCACTGCCTACTCTACGTAATGTCTCTTCATCTGGTGTACCCAATATACCGAGGATTTGATTTAATTGGTCAACGTCTAGACAATGTTGAGTATTAATAGGCAATTTCCTTGTATAAATATTCCTCCATTCTTACAATCTCTTCCTTTGAAAAGAGGCCTTCCACCCAACATTTCAGCAAAGATACAACCAACAGACCACATGTCAACTAGATGAAATGTCAATAAAAAAAAAAAGAGAGAAACATGGTCCAAAATCTAACTTACTTGCTTTGGTATAGCTTTGAAAGCTAAGCATAATTTCGGGAGCTCTGTACCATCGTGTGGCAACATATTCCGTCATAAAACCGGCATTGTAATCCGGGTTGTCAGAATAACCACGGGCCAAACCAAAATCACAAATCTATTAAAGTTAAGCTCTAGAAGAGATAACTCGATCGATGTAGCTTACCTTTAACTCACAGTCAGCGTTAACAAGTAAATTGCCTATGTATATTTAGTCTTTTTTTTTGAAAAACATGTCATTTTTTTTTTGTTTTACCTGGTTTCAAATCTCTATGTAAAACCTTCAAGATGTTAGTCTTGCTATTATTATTATTTACTATTATTACTACTTACATTTGCACTGTGAATATACTTTAATCCTCTACAGATTTGATATACAAAATATTGAAAGTGAGCATCTGTTAAAGGTTGACCTGATCGAATGATTTGATGAAGATCTGCTTCCATTAATTCTTGTACAAGATAACTAAAATCACATGTTAGTCATTTAACGCGTTTAAATAACAATAATAATTACATTTCATTAAAGTCTTGCAAGTTAACAATGTCCATATCAAGTACAGAAGTGATCTATTAAATATAAGCATACACGTAAACCACTTGAAGAGTCTTACATTTTCATGTCCATTAAAGAACTTTAATAGCTTGACTTCACGTAAAGCTCTCTTGGCGAGAATAGTCTTTTCAAAGATACGACAGACCTAATCATTCACTTCATGTTAAATAAATAAATATATAAAAATCTATATATACTTGCCTTTTTAATAGCTACTTGTTCACCTGTAGAAGTGTCTTTGGCAGCACTAAAGATGAAGTTAATTAAAAAGAAAAAAAAAGGTCCAGTTCACATTACCAAACGACACCATAAGCACCTTGACCCATTTCACGAATGAACTGATATTTTTTATCAACAATAAACTGCTGATTCAGTACAGGAAAAGCTTGGTAATTTGTCATCTCTGCTTATAAAATATAGAAAAAAAAAAAGGAAAGAAAGAAAGAAATAGAGAGAGAGAAAAGCAATTTAAAAGGGTCTCGGTTTCTTTTCGGATAACTTTTAGCTATTAATAAAAGTAAAAGTCACACAGATCAAAAGCTACTAAACATCAAACAGAGAAGAGAACAAAAAAAGTCAGACGATCTGCTAAATAAAAGCCTTATAAAGAACAAGATGACTAGAAAGTATGGTTTATATCTGAGAGGATCTGAAAAAGAACCCATATTTTGTTGAGAGGAATCGTTGGAAGGGCAATAAGATGTTAATATCTAATACAAGATCGGGGCAATGTTGGCGGAGAATACATACTCCATTCGAGCAGACAGCTGACGAACAAATACTATAGGTCTTTTTGTTTTTTTAAAAGACGCGTAGAGACTGAGAAAGATAAATGGATAGATCAACAAGGACACCTCATCATTATATTTCTTATTATCTAAACCTTTCATTTTTACACGATGAGCATAAAGAGGGAAAAAACCTTACAATTGAAAGAGGCTACCAAGAAAGTAATAGCAACCAAAACACTGAAAAAGATAAAGCCTTGGAAAGATATTAACAAAAGCACTGATGATAAACAGCCCCTTTAGATTCCTAATAAATGCGTTCTTTATCTTTTCATCAAATATTGTCATTTTGTGTTTATAGAAAGCCACTGCTTTATTGCAACTCTAGCTTATGAGGGTAGTTTTTCACTGGTTAATCCTATTGGAGGCTCTATTACAACTGCTTCTTTTTTTTTAAAAAAAAAAAAGGAGGACATATCCACTTCACCTTTGCAAACGCGCAAAAATATCGAGACTTTCAGCTTGACATGCTCACACAAGGGCATAGCAAAATTATCGGTGTTTTAAAATACAGGCTTGTGACTTTCTCCATGAAAGTAAAATAGGTTGTCAGGCAGGCCACGAACAGATCCTCCTCTTACTAGCATCTTATTTTGCGCGTATGTATATGGATCCATCCATCCATCAATCCATCCATCCATCCATTTGAAAACTCATCATATTGAATACATATAGCATGTCTGCCGAACTTGCCGTCGTTTACGCTGCCCTCATCCTTGAAGATGACAACATTGAAATCACCGTAAGCATTCTTTAAATACAACATTAGAGCATCAGTCTAATGCTTAAAAACAAACAGGCTGACAAGCTCCAAACCCTTGTCTCTGCTGCCGGTGTTGAAGTTGAACCCATCTGGTTCTCTCTCTACGCCAAGGCCCTCGCTGGTCAAGACCTCAAGGCTCTTCTCATGAACGTTGGTGCTCCTGGTGCTGGTCCCGCTGTTGCTGGTGGTGCCGCCGCTGGTGGTGCTGCTGATGCCGCTCCTGCTGAAGAAGAAAAGAAGGAAGAAGAGAAGGAAGAATCTGATGACGATATGGGCTTCGGTAAAATGAATGGTATATGTGTAGAGAAAATGATGCTAACAGCTTTTGATGATAGGTCTCTTCGATTAAGTTTCTTGAAACCTTTTTCTTCAAAAATAAAACTTTTTCAATTGTATTTTGCACATACACAAAATAGTAGACTTTGATGTTTAGTTTGAGTGAATAGAGAATAGTTACAAAGAGGGTTTATTTTGAAAATGTGTGCTATCTAATGCTTAGAGTTCACCTGCTCTACGAAGTCGTCGTCGTTCTTCCATCTATCAGTGTGTCAGAGTCGTTATTTTAATACACATGGACCAACTTACCCATTTCTTTTTACATTCACGGTATTGCATAAAAAAGTAATTGCACTTGTCTTTCTCATAGTTGTTGTCATCGAGACATTTCATACTTTGCTTTTCTTCTAAAGCACAAGGATTCATGTATTTTGTTAAAGGTTTTTGCTTAAATTTCTCATTAAAGTCTTTGGGTGTAGAAGGTTCACCAAATTCAGGCTTTGGTGGAGGTGGAGGTGGTTTTGAAAGTGGCATGTCAATAGTAAAAAAAGGATGAAAAAAAAGAAAATATTTTTCGCGGGGGGAGTGAGTAAAAATTCACGCCGACGTCAATTGTTGTACCTTTCTTCAATACAGTGAATACATATCGTCGATTCTTTATCTAATGTTTGAAATAAATGATGACAGCGAGTACTCTATTAATAAATTTTAAGTTGACAAGGATGAGAGAAAGTATAACCTTGAGTAAAACAAAGGGAAATTTTTAATTTAATCACTGAGAAGCACTAATATAGAAAGATGTCTTTCAGGCAAATATAATAAGCCCCTCGTAGTAAGTAAATTGGCATATATCCTTTTAGAATATATCGAAGGGAATCCTATTAAATGAGCTGAAAGTTAACCTTTATGTGAAGGATCTTTCAAGCTTGATTTGATAAATAATGATCATCATTACCTTCATTTTCTTACCGTATGAGGATGAGAATTAATTGGAATAAAATACGGTATAACAGATACTTACTTTTTTGCTTTACACACCTCTTTCAGTAAAAACAACTCTTTCCATGCATCCATAATGATGGGATACACGACCATTGCTTTCTGTAGAAGATGTGACTGGGGTTGATTTATTTTAAATAGCAGACATGCGTCTCTCTTCCTTGTTTTTATTCCAACAGGCAACATGGATTACGGTATAAAGTTAACATGACTATAAACAACACTTAATAACAAGAAAAATAGAACTTGAAAATAGATCTATTGAAGAAGCAGAAAAGCTCATCAACGAAGAGTACAAAATGTGGAAAAAGAACTCACCTTTTCTTTACGACCTTGTTGTCACACACGCGCTCGAATGGCCAAGTCTGACCTGCCAGTGGTTTCCAGACGTAGAAGAGTAAAGAAAAAGAACAAGAGGGATGACATATATGTTGATTGACCACTTTTTATATATTTATTATAGATCTCCGGATAAGAATTTCAAGGTTCAGCGTTTATTGTTGGGAACACATACAAATGACGATGAACCCAATTATGTCCAAATTGCTTCTGTCAAAATTCCCATTCTGAAGGCAGAAGATACACCTGCAGAAGATACAAGTGGTAATTTTTGTTGTCAATCTCTATTGTACGCGTTTTCTAATGTTTATATATAGACAATAGCGAAACATTCATTAAGATTACCCAAAAAATTCCTCACGATGGTGAAGTAAACCGAGCTCGTTACCATAATGAAAACCCAGATATCATAGCTACAAAATCAAGGGCTGGTGAGGTTTATGTATTCGATAGAACCACTTTTGATCCTCAACCAAAGAATGAGTTCAATCCCACACTGAAGCTTGTTGGTCATGATAAAGAAGGGCAAGTGTTTTTGAAAAAGAGAAAAGAAGGCATCCTAACGTACCTCGTTTAGATATGGTTTAGCATGGAGCCCTCATAAATCAAACTCAAATCATTTACTCAGTGCAGGATTTGATGGAAGAATCTGTCAATGGGACGTGGATGGAACAACCAGAGAGAATCGAGTATTAGAGCCAGTACGCATATACACGGCACATACATCTGTCGAGGTAATGAAATCACAGAATGATGACATAGTGGATATTAAAATAATGAACAAAGGATGTTGCATGGCATACAAAATTTGAATCCATATTTGCTTCAGGAGGCGATGACGCGAGACTCATGATGTAAGTCTAGTAGATACATGCCCTAAAAAGACTGACGTTACTCTAGCTGGGATTCACGAAATGACTCAAACAAGCCAATCCATAACATTCAAGCACATGAAGCAGAGATTAATTGTGTTAGCTTCGCTCCTAATAGTGAATGGATCCTTGCCACTGGATCAGGTGATAAGGTACAAGCAGAAAAAGATGACAGGCAATAAGAGCTCATATGAGTTATATAGACTGCTGGACTATGGGATTTACGTAATTTGAAATCACCGCTACATACCTTAAGATCCCATCAAGCAGAAATTCTTCAACTGTCTTGGTCTCCTCATCATGACGCTGTATTGGCTACCGCAAGCTGCGATAGAAGAATCCTTGTTTGGGATTTATCTCGTATCGGGGCTCCTCAGCATCCTAAAGACGCGGTAGACGGTCCTCCTGAACTATTGGTATGTATAATATAATGAACAAAAAGACATCAACTCATCCTGTATAGTTTATGCACGGTGGACATACAAACAAGATTTCAGATTTCAGCTGGAATCCAGCAGAGCCATGGGTATTGGCCAGTACAGCCGACGATAATATTGTACAAGTGTGGCAAATGGTAACTATGAGAAAAAGAGAGATGATCAGACCATCTGAGTTTTAAACAAATTATTAATTAGGCTAGTAACATTTATGATAATGAAGATCAGCCTAATGAAAGCAACCAACATGAAGATCATGTCATGACAGACAATCAAGCTCATACAGATACTACATTAGATAATAAGGTGAATGATGACAACGCTGCTGCCACGACTACCACTTTAGATGCACCTAAAGAAGACGAAACGATGGAAGAATAATGTTACACACGACTCAACCCCTTAAAATTTTTGATGCAGAAATTTTTGTGTTTAAATAAATAATATAAAGAATTAAAATTTCTGTGAATCGTTAGATGCAAGTATTTCTCTTTCTTTTTTTCAGTCATGTGTGATTTAAACTGGTGTCCTGTCTGCGATAAAGCGATTTCAAATGAATCTGTAAGTAAATCAGATCATAAAGATACGCCTTAAAAGCTAATTCGTGATAGGATTTCTTGTATTGCTCAATAAATTGTTTTTTGAAGGAAAATAGCGAACCAAAGGACTTGACATATGTATATGGGGGATTCCTATGCCCTAGGGCACATAATATAGATATACACGTATGTCACGATCATCATGACTCCGTGCCTGAATTGACATCCTCTTTATCAACCAAGACATCAACATCAATATCAGATACTCTATCTACTATAGACACATTCTTTTCATCCACAAAAGAAGAAAAAAGTATTGAATGTTGTGATTACTGCAAAAATACAAAGAATCAATGGGATCCATTTGAAGAAATACAAACTGATCGATTTATAAAAGAAACCTTTGTCTAAAACCATTATTCATCTGTGTATATTTTCATTCTTTTTTTCTATAAAAATAAATCTCTCCCCCTTTTTTGCATTTATAATATAATCGAAGATAGGAAATATACTTTATAATAACCATACAATCCAAGAAGAATGATGTGTAGTGTTTTCCAAAAAGTAAACAGTCAACGAAATTAAAGTATAGAATTGTTCTCCAAAAAATGCTATTTGGACCATTTATTAGCACTATTTCTATCCTCACTCTTTTTCTTTATGCTGGTTATTATACAATCTTCTGTCTGATCCAGACAAACTTTGGCTACTACAAAAACGTGAGGCCAAATGTCCAAGTTATTTTACAAGACGATCTTTAGTTTTGCAACTCTATCGTCCTTGATGTCGAGATTGATTGATTTTTTTTTTTTATTCGTTTAAATAGATCTACGCATTTAGAGGAAAGCCAGGGCAATTAGTACTTGTATTGAATTAAGTGAATATCATTATAGAGATTGTACATAAATCTGTATAAAACTGTATAGATCTACATATTTGTATATAGACTTGCATTATAAAAGATAACTTTAGCAGATGTACGAAATATGCAATTTAAACATGAATATATGAAATGTTGAACACATTACATGGATAACAACCAAGGTCACGTTCTACGAAATATACATTGATTATACGACGACAAAGGATATAATCTTCTTTGATACAAAAGTAATAATACGACAGGCGTACATAATACTATGGTTTGTTGCGACAAGAAAAAGAGGTAGCGGAAAAGAAGGAAAATATTCTACCATCTTTCAGTAGCACAGGGATCGATGGTAAATATGATTGTATTATCTTGCTCCTTAGGTATTTCTATCATTCGATCTATAAACCTTTCTCTTTCTCTGTCGCTATAACCACTGTGCACTTTTGAATTCAATTTTACAGCTTTTGGCTGTTTAGCAACCTTCTCTTCAGCGATTCTCCCTGCAGGTTTGAAACCTAAGTACGTTATTGCTTAAAGAGCAATGTTTGGGCTAGAGATTTGAGTTAAGATGCTCCTTCCATTGGATCATACACTTTTTCATAAAAAAAACCCTCGTTCGCCATTTTGTAGATGTCGAAAAGCAAAAGAGTGATCAACTACTTTAAGAACTTGCGATGGCAATTAGCCTTTGGAATTTCTGATAATTCGGGCTAGCACAAATTGATAAAATCCCACAGACCTGACTGTATGAACGCTCATCTTGGATGCTACACTTTTATGGTTTAAAAGGCAAAAAAAAAAAGCCAATACTAATTTGGAAATGATACGAATGAAATGTGTAAGCTGAGTACAGAAATATCACTTTTCATATTTATGCAATCACTCTTTTCTTTCTGTTTTTTAATAGAATAAAATATGAGTCAAAATACCTTGAATAATCCAACAGAACAAAAGACTTCTAAAAGTCATCCAATAAAGTATGTAAACTATAAAAGCCATCATAAACTAATCTTTTGTCTAGGATCAGTTGGATCATTCCACCGGACATTCAGTTATACTTGTCAAATAATGACTTACCAAAGAATCATGACCTTTATGACTGTATGGAACCATCTATTAGAGAACAGCTTCTGTCTATGTCCAATCGACATCCTCCCTCATTGCTCAAAGGAAATTTATGTCTGAGTTCATGTCCAGGGAAGAAAGTACGTTTGTCTGGTCCAGTCAGAGGCAGAGCAAGTATCAACAGAGACCTTGATGCAGATCTTTCAAGGATGAAATCATTCGGAATTACCTTGATTGTTTGGTAAACACAAAAAATAATAATAATAATAAATGGAGGAATGAATCATTTATCATTATTAATCGTCTTAAAGTTGTTTAGATGATTATGAAATGGAACTTTTAGGTGCACCATGGCCAAAATATAGAGAAATTGCAGCAAAAAATGATATAAAGGTGCTCAGATTACCCATGATCGAAGGTAGTTGCCCAGAGACCATAGAGGAAGCACAACATGCAATTCATATCGTGAATAATGAAATGAATAAAGGAAATAACGTATTAGTCCATTGTAGAGGAGGTATGGATTCATATATATATACATTTATATATTTATTAGGAGCCTAATATATGTCTATTAAAGGTGTAGGAAGAGCTGGTTTATTTGCTTGTTGTTGGTTATTAGAAAACTCATTATGTAATACTGCAGAGAGAGCCATTGCGGTTGTTAGAACCCAAAGAAGTCCCAAGGCTATTGAAACACTAAGACAAGCGGATTATATTATCCATTATGCCAAATCATTGAAACAGAGATCGAAATTGACAGAGCAACATCAGACGTTGACCACTACTACTCCGACGATAGATGTCATGAACCCTTTCCCGAAATCAAAGTCGCAACCCACCAATTCTGAAGTCGCAAGTTGACAGCTATCATAAAGAATATACTTTTAATAGTTTTATTTATTGCTGCTGTACATAAATAAATTAAAGAGAATTCTTTTCATGCTTGATTATGTCTACCTTTCTTCTTTTTATTTCATCCTTTAAAACCATCTTGTGTGATCTTTAATGTTACACTTTTGGCTTCAGCATTACTGTGTACGCAAAAGAAATAAAATAGCTTTTCATGTGTGCTCTTGTCTCAATTTCCATAGCAACTTTGACCAAAAATTGCATATATACAGGGCCCAGCACTTTCAAGCAGAGAACTTATCTGAAATTAGTCGGGGATTGTTGCTTCGTTTTTATAATGGCGGTAAAGGTGCCTAGGAACCACATGTCTAAGATCATGTCCTTTGTACTTGGGCATTGGCCACACAAGATAGACAGTAGACGAGAAGCAGAGCGATGAATTGTCTTTGCCTTATTCTTTTGAGGAATATAGTTTTCACAATCAATGAGTATAATAGGGGTAAAGCCTTTTAGATATGAACATAAACAACGATACCATGGTTTATGTAATCGATTTTTGGAGTATTGTTGAAGGAGACGTATAGTATTGGTATATGGTGGTACGTCGACTCTCATAAAAACGTTTTTGGTTGCTTCATTTTCTAATTCAAACTTTGCCATAGATGATCCTAGGTAAGGAACTATTTCATTGCTCCCGGCTAATACATAACTTCCTGTCATAAGCAACTCATAGTGGCCAATATAGACTGATAATTCTTTAAATGATATTATTTTGACCGTTTTGATTTTACTTTTGCTGTTGATTTTTCTTCAACTTCATTGAATGCGAAAGCCTCTGCAGAAATTTTCTTTAGGAGAATATCATCCTGGCTTGTGTTGTTTTCCAAGAAGAAAGAGATAAAAAAGAAATGCTGCTTTTTCTTTATACGAATTTTATGTTGTCAAGTTGATCAGCAAAGAACCAAGATCAATCATGTGAAACTTTCACTAGACAGCCTTACATGTAGTGCGTAGAAGAAGAAACGCCCATAGCATTTGCCAGCTTAGTTTAAAAAAGTGGCATAAGCTGTAGTTCATGAAGAAGACACACAGAGTGATTAAAATATTAGTAACTGTGAATAAAGTAGTACCTTCTGTTCTTTATTAAATATTGGTAATTATAGAACCTATGTTTATGCAAGAACTGGGAAACTCTTTAGTATTATGATATTGACTAAGCTGAATCACATACAATCTGATACTTTTTGTCCTTGCTGTTCTCTGTACCCAAAAAGCGAAAAAATACAAAGGGCATAAAAATACACATTTTTAATGATGATTGGTTAAAAATTTAAAATCTCTTCATTCTATTTTTCTGATCATAATAACGATAACCAACAAATAGAATGCCTACAAGTCCTCCTGCCAACATCATTTTGAATAAAACAGACAACACACCTCCTGACGAAGATGACTTTTTGACCTTTTCTTGTCTAGGAGCAGCTTCTTTGACTGCAGGAGGGATAGACTTGGTAGTGACCTGAATAATATCGTGATTATCTGTTACTTCACCCGTATGCGCACTAAAACCAAGATAAATTTGCTCAGGAAGAACAACATTGTGTTTCTTGAAGCATTGGTCCCATTCATCCTCTTGTCTCCATTGTAACTCTAATTGAACATAGTTTCCTTTGTGATAAGTGAATCTGGCGCGTGTAGGGAATCCTTTAGCTCTGAAATCAGCCTAGAATACAACTTAGAACCCTATGTCTGTCTTGTTGATTTCAACTTACCTCACAGCCAGCCAACTCAGTGTCACTTCCATCTTTACCATTATCATAAGATTTAGTACCATCGTTAAGCATAGCCATAACATAGGGGAAGGTATGACGCTATTTTCAATTCTTAGTTTACCCTTTTTATCTTTATACATGTTTATATTACATGAGATCGTTCATTATCATAGGTATCAAAAAAGATACCCATACCCTCAAATCTATCAACTGAGCCGAATACAGGTCCAGGTGTCATTCTTTGTTTTGTGAGCCACACTGTAAAAGTATGTTAATACTACTCTTTTGTCTGAATTTATTGTAAACTTACTAGCAAAACCATCACCGTAAAGGTGTCCACTACTGCCTTCTACTTTAAATTCGAATTCAATTTGGAAATTGTCTCCAATCAAGGGCTATATTTTCTAGTTATTATAAAGCTTTCTCTCTTTATATATGTTTTTAGTTTACCAAACGAGACCACAAGTAACCCAGTTGAGATTGCTTGGTAGAAGTTAAGCGAATGTGGTGATTGGTATTAATGATGGTATTTCCTCCAAAGTCGAACCATCTATTTTGAAGTTCATCATCTTTAAAATGTTAAGTTCTCTTTCTCTTTTGTTTTTAATTTTAGTCATGTCTTACCAATATATGGCATTGAAATAGAGTGAGTTCTCATATTGTTATTTCCTTGAGCAAGTACTAAAGTAGTGCATGCTACAAGAAAAGTAGAAAGTACCGCAATGACTGAACGCATGCTTCAAGGGAATAAAAAGGTAATAAAAATAGAAAAGAAAGAATAAACGCGTTTTAAGGACGAACTCAAACTTGAAATTCAGACAATTTTGTTCTTAAATTGCAATCCTGCTCTTTTTTTGGTAAACACTAGATTGCTTATTTATTTCTTTCCATTAAACGACCCATCAACTCTCTTTGAATCTGTGCCTGTTTTTTGGATTCAGCCAAGGAACCCAGGCTTCTCAAGTCATTAACAATATCTTTTGTTTTACCAAAGTAAACCTCCTGTAGCGAATTACGCATCTTTAATTCCATGTCTTCGACCATACGTCCGATATTAGCAATATGGGCAGATGGATCATCTACAGGATAGTCTTGTTCTACTTGTCTAGTCATACTTCCACTCAAATTCAAGTTGCCCAAGTCTTGGTTATTTGTGATCATGTAGAGCATAATAGTCGATGTTAACTTGTATTGTGCGCTACGTCCTCTTTCTTGAACTTCAAATACATGAATAGAATCCCAGGCACCCTTCATGCGTCTTGATCCATCGCCCACTAAAGATACAAGTCAATGGCTGATGACATTAACTCTATTGTTTTACTTGCCTTTCTTTATCAAGACAACAATAGCAAATTTATCACCAATGTCAAATGCATAAACAGATGAAACACCGCCTTCATAATACATTTCACGGTACGTATCAAAGGCTTCGTTTGCTGCTATTTCTAATTTTCTTAGGGTAGGCGAAGGAAGTGCTCCATCTAATAGCTCAGGCTCATATTCATTACTCCATGGTGACCTTTATATATGAAGAAGTTAAAATGACTTTTTATATAAATGAAGAGTTATTGTGTACCTGTAAGAATCACCATCTCGGTTATAGTCACAGATAAGGTAGTCTCTTCCTGTTTTTGAGCAACGCTTTACTTTGAGTGGTTGGTCAATAGTAGATAGTAACTCGGCTGCCAGGTCAGGATGGACCAAGTCAAATAGTTTATTGAGGTTTTCTTCTACATTTTGAGGCGGTAGACGTCGCATCAAATCAAGGGCACAGTCAAATTGGTCATTCTAACGACACACACATACGTATACGCGAGAGAAATGGTAAATAAACAATATGTTTTCTTTTTCGAATTCGTTACCATCTTTTGATAATAGCAGTAAAATAAGTATAAAAGATCATGTTTATTCACTGGCTCGAATTTTGCCAGGCGAACTTGCGTCTAGCGGAAGTTGAATTCGTGCGCTGACGTTTAAACAAATTGAGTTCACAGAACTCATGTACAAAGGCAACCATGTCAAGGTACCTATTCCAGAAATAACTCTGACCGTCTGCTCCAATCAAGGCAACATACTGTTTCAACAGCCATACAAACAGGTTTCTTTTGATATGCTTTCTTTTATTTTTGGCTAGCAACTTTCAATCGCATCAAGAAAAGGGGAAAAAAAAAAGAACCATGAACAAAGATTTGAAATCATGGCTCCGAATAACGTCCATTGTACACTGGAGACGATTAATTCTGCAGTTTTACAGATAACGAGTAGCCTTTTTTATCGTGTTTATCCAAAACAACCATAACACTTCAAGTCATCAAGTTTTAATCTCAGATCATCCCACAAAATTTTTGTTTTCGTGTAATCTCAGGCTACTGCATTTTATGCTTGTAATAATAACATGAAAGTTTTGTATTTTGCAGCTGTTAAGGATATCACAGGAAAAGAGATGGAAGAAGTTGAAATACGGAAAGAAGATTATACTTTACAGACGCTATCTGCGGATTTGTGTATGAAATATGGTGAAAAATTAAAGACGTTGTTGGAGTCTTGTTTATTTGCTGTTGATATGGAATATATTCAAAAGAAAGACGAATTAGAGACGTTGCTAAAAGATGCTTCTGAAGTAGCCATTATTCCACCAGTCAGTGGAGGATAACTAATGGTTCTGCCTGTCAGAATTTATTGAAGAATTGATCCTATTAAGCAAATAACAGAAATCCCTTGTTGCGTTGTCACTTTTTTCTTTTATTGGTCAAACAAAATAAAATGCGAGTATACATTTACTGTAAGCAATGATTTGGATGAATGATAAATGGGTTAGTTGATATCCATAGAAAAAGCAGCCAATAACAGTATATAACGTTTTTGGAATGATGCCAGAATAACAAAGTGATGTCTTTTGTACTCTATCTTTTGTTGCTTTTTCGCTCTATCTGAGTGCCTGAAGGAGCAGAGTCAGTTTCTATAAAGTTAATTCAGTTTCTAATATGTGTGTCTACTTTGATGTATTTACAGAATGTTACTTGTCATTAAACTTTCTTATTGCGATCATCATTTATTATATGTATATGGTTTATTATATAATAATAATATTGCTTCTATCATCATGAGCTTTTAATATATAGCTTGCATAGAGCTCGCCTGCATAATCTTCACCTTCCGTTTATAACAGTGCAAAACAGGGACAACACCCTTATTTTTTTAGTATCCGAAAGAGTGGGCCGGGGGAGCCAAATTGACACTTCCAAAAACACATGTGGCTTAGACATCATAAAAATTTTGTTACAGCACTGGCCAAGATGAATCTTCCTCTTTTCCCACTTATCACACAACATGGAGAACTCTGAAGGCCAACTTGTCGATCTTTACATTCCTCGCAAGTGGTAAATATTTTTAAGAGGCAGTCAAAAAGAGGGAGTATATTCATTCTATTTTAGCTCTGCCACCAACCGTCTCATTACTGCCAAGGACCACGCTTCCGTTCAAATCAACGTTGGTGATGTCAACGCTGATGGTCGCTATGCCAACACTTTCTCCACCTACGCTTTCTGTGGTTTCGTTCGTAAGGAAGCTGAATCCGACGACTCCCTCAACCGTCTTGCTCAACAAGATGGATGTAAGTATTATACGTGGCATGTCAAATATTTTTATTAAACTTTCTTTCATTAGACTTGAAGAATGTCTTCTCCTACCAACAATAAATGGTTTGCTATTTTGTGAATAAATCTTCTCGTTTTATAAAGCATAGGTGCATATATGTATATATCGAGTGAAGAATAGGGTGTGTATAGCGGGTTACTCTTTCATACAATTGTTAAAGATAAACTGAGCATGTTGAATGAGATCTTGGTACCTTTGTGAGTTTGGGGATACATTACGCTTTTATGAGCTAAAGTTCAAGTCGATAAACGAGGAATGCCAGTTTTCTTAAAATATAGACGCGTATGGTGCCTCAAAGAGATCACAGAGACGCCCTAATGGCACCCTCTCAAAAAGTTAACATTATACTTAATACTTTCCTTTTAAAATTAGTTTTGTCCATGATTACAACGGCTTGTTTCTGTTGTATCATTAATGGAATTGCCTGAGCAAACTTTTGCAATTCTTCACATGCCAATGGACAAACAACAAAAAAGTACTATTTCTTCACTGTATCTTTCATTTTTCAGAAGATAAAACGCCTCAAAGAATATCTTTCTGTCTAAAAATAAAAAACGACTTTAACGATATTTTGTTTTTAAAACAATCTTTGCACCATTTGCACCGCTTACACAGTTAAATTCGTAGATCGTGCAAGCGTTGCAAGCGTTGCAAGTGTTGCAAGTGTTGCAAGTGTTGCAAGCGTTGCAAGTGTTGCAAGTGTTGCAAGCGTTGCAAGTGTTGCAAGTGGTGCTGTGATATTTGCTGTAGTTGTAGTAGTGGTGATGGACAGAAAGTACAATGGGACTCTTTATGTTTCTTTTATTGTAAGAATAAAGATAAAGGTATTAAAATTGATAGTTGCACTTGTTATATAAAATTGTAATTATTATTGTGATTGGTCAATTTATACGACAGGTGCAAACGGTGCAAGTGGCACTGCCAAATCTCCGACAGTGATGCATCTGGAGAGTGTGCAGAAACAGTCAGTTCAAATGATTTTTTAAAAAGACAAGCTTAAAAATGGCAAACATGACCGTCTCATAAACACAAACGCGTCTTTAAACAATGATTATGATTCATTCGTTTTCTTTACAAACTTATCCAATTGATTCTCCATGCTCCGCATGCTGTACGAAAAGCATGATTCACACTGAAAGACAAGGGCACCAAACAAGCAAAAGTCACAAAGCCTCGTACGGTAACAATTCCTACACTATTTTCTTTGTGCTTTTTTTTTTGCAATGACCCAAAGCTCGGATGAACAAGATGGTAGATGATCATTTGTCTCTAATGTTTAGTGACTTTTTTATATTTTTTAGTTCTGGATGACATCAACACCTTTGCCTTACCAAAGCACCATTTACCAGGCACGGACAGATTTAGTAAGCTAATCTTGCAGATTCCATCTTTGATTGATCTTGTCGCCCTCGAACTCCTGGACGTGCCCAATGGAACCTATGCAGCAGCAGGCACGGAATGGCCAGATGGAACCAGGAGCGACGTTTTATATGTGCCACGACTTGGGATTCAGCAACGCTCCCTTCCACCAATCCTGATCGAAGTGCAGCTCGTGGTAAATGAAGCATTCATGCGAAGACTGCAGAACTATGGCCACAAAATCTTCGATCTGTACAAGTCATATCCGTTGGTGTTGGTGCTTTGCACGGACAGAGTGTCCCCGACATCTTTGATGAACGATTTTCAATGTCCGGACCGCCATCCATGGATGAATATGCTAAAGTCCTGCAGGTTCTGGGCTCAGGATTGCTATCTGTTGACAAGAACAACACTGGCCAATAATGGCAGCAACAACAACAATTGGTCACCTTTATATGCATTGTCAACATTTATAATTGAACAATCACCCACGCTCTATGGCCATTCCAATCCGGAGCATCCAACCATTCGCATGCTATATCGTCTTGCAAAGGAATGCATAAACGAGAAAATGGAAAGAGAACGCCATTTATCTGAAGTACTCGACGTTGTCTGCACCAACAATGAAAAACTGCTACAAAAATTGGAGAAATCGATTGCTGACATCCCCGGCACAAGCAAAGCTAGGCGTATCCTCTCATCCGCATTCGAATTCAACCGATCTGTCAAGCGAAAATACGTAGAATTGGAAGATTCGGATTCGTCCCTTGAGTCTCTCCCACCAAATCGAACTCCCAGCCGAGTCTCTAGCCAAATGAGCTTCAACATGGAGCGCAGTCAACAAGAAGACGACCTAACGTTCATCATCAACTTTCGAAAAAATCAAACGGGCAAGATGAACTGGAATCTTTGTCTCGAAGAAGCCCATAAAAATCACTTGTGCAAAGGGTTTTCCACTGTGGCAGGCATTCGTTCATTCTTTAACCGTTCCATGAAAACCCAAGCTTCCCAATAAATCATATATCTCTGCCACAGCAATTCCAAATTGTTTAGCCTAACCATAACAACTCTGCAGATGGTATCATTTTATCAAGAAAACTTACCTGTTTTAATCACTTACCTTATGATTACTAAACAATTATACCTGTAAAGTCTCCTTTCTTCATTTAGGCATCGTTGAAAGAATGATATCGAATATCTAATCCAACCCTCACAGTCTTTGTGTTTTACTTTGCCAGTCAATTCACAAACGCGATTTGTAAGTCGATCATCAGCCCTTTACTGGCGTTCTTCTAACACCTGTTTTCACTTTTGACCGAAATCCTTCGATTGGATTTAAAAATGGTGAATGTGATAGATACAAGCGCTTATGGTTTCTCTCTTCAATTAACTCTCGAATGTCCTTTCATACAGTTTTTATCCAGTAAATTTATTTCATAAGATAGCCGTTGGCCGCTCCAGAGCGTGATGCATTAGGAGACTGCGTGGACTCGTAATTAAGTTCAAACTAAAGCTGTGTCTTTAAAATAAAGTGGCATGGAGAGGATGGAACGGGCGCTCTTTGCTCAAGAAAAAAAAAACTCGCCAATGGACAATTTTTAGGGAAAATAGTGTATAGAAAATGCCTTGGATGCCTTCAGCAGTCATTAGATGAAGGGATTCTAATTGTATTAGAAAACTGCTGTACACATCATTCTCGCTTCATCGTTGATCTTGTTGAGAACTGCTGCTCCTTCCCTCCCTGTTCTCCTTTCCTAAATCCAAATTAAACTCTGTTGGGCAAAACTGAAGCAGTACATATGAAGAAATCCTCTTTAGCGAAAGACATAATTCAACTGATAGAATCAAAGTGAGGTCACTTCAGCTGTGGCTCCTGAAGATTGTAGAGGATGAATTAGAGATTACATGTCCTATTGAGATAGATAACAATAAAAGTATTGTTTACTATTATTGAAGCTCTTTTTTTTTTATTCAAAAAGGAAGCACTTACATACCAAACGCGCTATTACTACTATTATTATTATGATTACTATTATTGCAATTCAGGGTATCGTTTTAATTCATTTCGAATGTGTCACAGTAAAGAGAATATATATAATGTCTCCTGAATTTATTCTATTGTTCTCCTCTTTTTTAATATTTGCTCTTTCCTTTTATTCGCACCATTGTCATTATTATTATTGTCGTCAAGGTAAGAAGACGTCTAAAGGGTTAATAAGTAAGCATATAGGGAAGAGTTGTTAGGGAAAACGTATAACCATCATGAATATCAAACCCTATTTCAATAAACTCTCCTTTTCTTTGTATCCCTTTTTATTACATCTCTTTTCTATATTTCTTTCTTTCTCTTTTCTTTTTTCTCTTATTTCAATTGTGTATATATGATTTTCTACTTAATATTATTGGCACTCTTTTATATTCAATACATTGACTGCCAACAATGCCTACCGCTCAAAGGATCTAAAGCCTGTCCACTATTCAGCAAGATATCCATTCCACTAGATGACACTACGACTTATCCTTGGCTAACCAACGTGTCGAATGTTAATGACTTTGACCGGGAACTATTTAACTATGTTAATTCACCCCTCTTTTGGAATCAAGAGCTTAACTGTGCTCAATTGATTCAAGATACCCCCAAATATGCACTCAGCTTTACATGTGCAACCATCGTGTCCAGACTATCTTCTTCATGCAACACCGACACAGCCATCCTACCACTCTGCCAACACACGTGCGATTCCTTTTCGAAATCAATACAGACTCTAGTTCAGTCTCATAATAGCACATGCAGTCTAGCATCTACAGATATAGCTTCTTTCTGTGAAACAGATCCTGTATTTGACGGTCTGCCCTCGGCCCACTGTATATCAGGTTTTGATAATGAGCGTCAATTATGTGGTAAATAAGCTATAGATGCCATACATTTAAATGGCTTACGACTCTCTATAGAAAGCAAGGATGCAGCTGTATGTAAATATTGTGATTGTCCTTCTAGATACAACAATCTGGTCTCTACACCACTTGCCATCACCTTGATTACTGTTGTGAGCCTAGTGATATGCACCAGTCTGTTGATCTTTTTGTACTTTAGATGCTATAAGCAACGTATCACTCACCTCAAGCTTACATCATCAGCTTCATTAGTCAAGGTGATCAACGAACCACATGCGGGCCATGTAAAAGATTTTTCTGTGGACGATAAAAGCTTATCCGACATAAAAGGACATGTCTTTCAAGTGAATTCGATAGAAGAGCAGTACGTTAGAGCAATTTATTCATTTACAGTACCGAATCACTCAGATGAACTACAACTGCTTACAGGTGATATCCTTAGGATGTACTATTATTTTGATGATGGATGGGCAATTGGTAATATAAGCTTCTTTTGTTGTGATTGTGTGGTTTAATTTTTTTTCTTTAGGGGATAATCTTGTTTCAGGTCAAAGAGGTTTGTTTCCACTCCTTTGTGTCGTTCACCTATCGCCTACAGAAGTACATGAATTAATAAAATCATCCGAAAACACGGACTGAGAATATACACATATTTATGCTCTTTTATTCTTTGTAACATAGCCAGCTAAAAAGTAAAGAAAGAGAAAGGAAAAGAGAGAGAGATCATGTAATATAAATAAATAAACATCCTAAAAATTCTTTATCTTTTGTTGTATCTCATCATCAAGATAAGACTCTGCTTTCCATAAAGCAATACTTCCTGCCAAATGCTGTTGTGTTGCAAATCCTTCAGTACTCACAATACCTCTAATACACTCCTAATGATTGATCAGCTATATGAATCATCCACTGTTTTTTTTTTGAGAGTTTACTTTCACCATGAATTCTTGATCGTACATGTCCACACAGTATCGCATCAAGTTGATATTTTCAGGTATCTTGGCCGTATCATCCCTTTCAATAACCTGCTCTAAGCCCAAAACATTGACTGCAAATGCATATTCTTCAAACATGGTTCCCAGCACTTGTTTGACTATTGATATATGAGTTTATATATATTCGTCGCAGGTAATCCCTCTTACATTCTTCTACAATCGCGTCAAGATCTGTCGATGACTGTCCTAAAACCTGTTGCGATAAGCACTGTTCACCTTTATCGTTCAGTTTTGCCCATTGAATCAGACTAGAATAAGAGAGAAAGTAAAAAAGAAGGAAGGAAGAAGACAAGTGTTAATTACCATTCCTTGAATTTAGTCAATGAAATGGTCGCAGTCGTCATTTTGGAGGAAGGGAAAGAAAAGAAAAGGAAAAAAAAAAAAAAAAAAAAAAAAAAAAAAAAAAAAAAAAAGAGAGGGATCAATTTAAGCCTGTACAACTGTATGCATTTTGTCTAAACTCGTGCAAGTTAACTTGATTTTTACGGCTAAATCACTCCCCAAAAACAAAGTCGTACCCCCACTCATACTGAAGCCCTATTACTGATAAAAATAGAAGCCATGCTTTGTCTAGAAATCTTTTGTGCGAAAAAAAAAAAAATAGAGTTGTGGCACAAGATATCTTTAAATAGTGCAGAAGCCACTGATAAAGAAATATCAAACAGGTCGACATCCCTTATCTCTAGAGAAGTAGTATCATAACAACTACTATCCACTGTACTCTTACGTTAGTATTGATTGTAACTCAAAATAATAAATTAAATAATGGGTCTAAAAAGCTAATGCGTTTTATATACGAACGAATTCATCATCTGGACAAAAACACGAATCTCCAGATAGGTTACCGCCTGCGACTATTGATTTTCTTTGAACCTTTTCATGCATCCATTTCTGAGTCATATTGGGTATAAATCACTGCTGAGAACGCTTGAAGTTCTTTAATATAAGCAAATGCCTTACAAAAAGAAAAAGTTAGGATAGAAGAGATACAATCAAGTAACCTTACATTAAGATATTCATTTCCAGCAATAACCAAGTGAGCTTGACGACTGATGATAGGTAATAGTTTAGCAAGTGTCAATGATTTCTCTTGAGGTTGTGTTTCTTGTTCTTGCGAAACTTCTTGTATGCTGGGAACAGTAGGTTCCAAATCAGGCAAGAGTGACTTTACAAATGCATGATGATCAAATATAGCAAATACTTCATTTAAGCAACTGTTCAACACTTGATGAAAGTCAGAGCTATTTGATATGAGTTAAAAATAAGCCTATTGATGTGATAGTTTACCTATCGATATAATCCTTTGTCTCATCCAATAATTTACGTAAAGTGATGGTAGATGTCTCCTGTTGATGAACATTGTCTCCAAACCCTGTCTGAGTGAGGTATTCCACTTCTTCCTCTTCCGTCTCTGGCAACATCCAAGTACGATAGCTTTTTAAATAATAAACACATGATTAATTCAATATACAAATATACAAATAAATATGCATACCTAATAGGTTCATCATTCTGGTCATACTCAATGCGCTTTCTAAGCTTTTGTACTAATTCATCTGCGTCATGGTAGTTGAAGGATTGTTTAAGAGAAATACTATTAAATAGTTTAGTTGAAATCTAAATGAGACAAGACCTTATTCTTACCCAGAGACGACCTCATCCACGGCTTCCTCAACTCTTTTAGCACACTGCTTCCATCCACGATGGATCAACCACCAAGATGCGCTCAAGAACATATGTTCAGTCTGAGGATTAAGATAGCCCGCATCTGCCTGCTGTCCTTCTTGTTGCAAGCGTATGGTAGGCTCACTCTTGTTCAAGACAGAGACAGACCACATGTATGTAAACCGACCAAGGAGATTCAATTGAATATGTGTGAGCAAGGTAAGAAAAGTGATTGAGTAAATAGACGTAAATGTGCGTATGAAGCTCTTTAGCTTTATGTCTTCCCAGATCAATTGTTTTTGTTTTTTATCCAAAATACCCGGTGGAAGAGTCGCGTTACTATCCTCCGAGTGTTCAGAGGTAGATAAACTAACAATACTAGAGTCCAAGGTGCTACTTGCGCCTTCCTCTTGTTGATCTATCTCCTTTTCCTCCTTGATCACGTATGCCATTTCTCTTTCTTCCTTTAGCTTCTTTTCCACTTTTTCTAAATCTCTTGATTTCTGAAGTTTTGCCCATTCAGCTTCAATATTCAGCTCGTCTAGTATTTGCTGACCCAAAGTAGGCAAGAGTGACAAGACAGTGAATACACAGTCATTTTGATTTTGTTGGAATCGACGTTTTAGACTAGGGAAAAACAATAAGAACACTATCAATCGAACTTTTTTCTTTTTACTTTTCTTTGGCCAGTCTCTCGGCTGTTGCTTTTTCTTGCATATCTCTTATTTTTGCTGCAGCATATTTACCAGCAAGGTAACTTCCTCCTGCAATAGCAGTAGTAATAAAGATTCCCTTTCTGTGTCGTTTGATATAATCCTTGACAGAAGTGATCAATGTCATTAGTAATAAAAAAGGGTTATTTTCTCACATGCAAAAAAAAGATTACCTTAAATAGTTGATCAAAAAAGGAAATAGAGATTGAAATTCAGATCTCAAAATAACAGGACAATAGTTAGGTGCTATTTAGATGAGTGTATGCAAATGTATCAACTACATTAGTAATAGGATCAATATGATCATCATTATTATGATAAAGATGTCTTTCACCATCAATTGAACTTTTTTTTGAAGACGCTGATCGAAATTTAGAAAAATACTCGCTGCTTTGGGATGTACCAACGTTCATCTTGATTCAACAACCTTTTTCTGGTGATAAGCCTTTAAGAAACGTAAATATTAAGATAAAAAAGAAGGCTCAAAGGGAAGAATACCGTCTATGTTATTCATCGAATATACAAAGCGTTGAATACAGTGCACTAATAGTTATCATCCCTTTCTTAACTTGGCGAATTTGACAACATGTATAAAAATATTGATCTTTATTTTCTTGAGTGAAACAGAAAAACAAAGCAAATCAAGAAAAGGAACAACCAAGACCAACGTCCTATATACTCGATGAATAACATCTATACATACAACTCTGCTGAAGGAAGCCGCAGCTAAGCTTGAATAATAAAACCAGAATGCGGTTGGTGCTTCCTACATTCACACATAGTAAGTTTATTTTCTGAAGATTTTACGTGAGCTGACTGAAGTTCTTCTTATATGTAGCCATATCAAGAACTGACACATTACACACTGCCTACTAAAGAGAGAGCTGTGGATAAGAAGATAAAGATACCGAAAATATGTAAAACAGAGGATTGCAATCTTACTGCAGCACGTGTACGGCCTTTCATAAGAACATCTGCAACAGGTCTGCTAAACAAAGCTGGAATTTGATATTTCCACTTCTCTCTTATACACGTTTAAAGGATATCCACACTTTGATATGTTATCAGTACTTTAATGCTTAGAATAGGAACGCTTTTGAAGTCATAGACATAAGACCCATCTGACGAAATATACGCTCTGGCTATAATTTGCTCTCATGCTTCATTATCAAGAACTAGTCAAGACAATGATGGTGGTTAAGGAATCATGATGTTGCTTAGTTCGCATTTTTGTGAGTAAAAAAAAAAAAAAATTAATTACGTCATTTATTGGTGACTTTGGTGGAGTCCTGCGAACAGGATTACGTGTCATGAACTTAAAAGACATATATTCTATCCTTTTCTTTTTTACTTTCCCTTTTTTTTTTCTTTTTCTTATCAAAATAATATAATCACATAATGACCAGTGACCACAAACATAAGCTGATGTAAGTTAATTGAAGGACAGATGTTAAAAAGAGAAAGAGAGAGAAAGAGTTATTGACTTGTGTTATAGTCCAAACTCTGAGGTTCCAGATCAACCTGAGGTCGATCCTAGCCATGATCCCGCCACTGCCATTTTACGTCGTAAAGCTGCACCCAACAAGCTGATGGTAGACGATGCTACCAATGATGACAACTCTGTGATCACTCTCTCAGCTGCCACAATGGAAAAACTTCAACTGTTTAGAGGTGACACCGTTATTGTAAAAGGAAAGAAGAGAAGAGACACTGTACTCATTGTCTTGGCTGATGATGATATGGAAGATAACAAGGCTAGAATTAACAAAGGTATGCATGCCGCTTACTGTGCTGCGCCTTCATAGATATTAACTAATCTATATAGTTGTCCGTAACAACTTGCGTGTTCGCCTTGGTGATGTGATCACACTTCATCCTTGTCCTGATATCAAATACGGTAAGCGTATTCACGTCTTACCTATCGATGATACCGTTGAAGGCTTAAGTGGTAATCTATTTGATACCTTCTTGAAGCCCTATTTCTTGGAAGCATACAGACCAGTTCGCAAGGGAGATACTTTCCTTGTCCGTGGTGGTATGAGAGCAGTCGAATTCAAGGTTGTCGAAACAGACCCTGAGCCTTACTGTATTGTAAGTATACACAATGCTCTTCTTTGCGCATTTTATTCATCTTTTACAGGTTGCACAAGATACAGTTATTCATTGCGAAGGTGATCCTATCAAGCGTGAAGACGAAGAACAGAGCTTGAATGAAGTTGGTTATGACGATATCGGTGGTGTCCGTAAACAAATGGCACAAATCCGTGAATTGGTTGAACTCCCTCTTCGTCACCCTCAATTGTTCAAGTCTATCGGTATTAAGCCTCCCCGTGGTATCCTCATGTTCGGTCCTCCTGGTACAGGTAAAACCTTGATTGCTCGTGCCGTAGCCAATGAAACTGGTGCTTTCTTCTTCTTAATCAACGGTCCTGAAATCATGTCCAAGATGGCTGGTGAATCTGAAAGCAATTTACGTAAAGCATTTGAAGAAGCAGAAAAGAATGCCCCCTCTATCATCTTTATTGATGAAATTGATGCTATTGCTCCCAAGCGTGAAAAGGTAAGCAATAATACGACAACTCAATCAAAATGTCTAACTTTCATTTAGACCAATGGTGAAGTCGAACGTCGTGTCGTGTCACAATTGCTCACCTTGATGGACGGTATGAAGGCCCGTTCTAACGTCGTTGTAATCGCTGCTACCAACAGACCCAACTCTATTGATCCTGCTCTTCGTCGTTTCGGACGTTTCGATCGTGAAGTCGACATCGGTATTCCTGACCCCACTGGTCGTCTTGAAATTCTCCGTATTCATACCAAGAACATGAAACTAGACGATGACGTTGATTTGGAACAAATCGCTTCTGAGACACACGGTTATGTGGGGGCTGATCTTGCTTCTCTTTGCTCTGAAGCTGCCATGCAACAGATTCGTGAAAAGATGGATCTCATTGACTTGGAAGAAGAAACGATTGATACCGAAGTATTGGACTCTTTGGCTGTGACTATGGAGAACTTCCGTTATGCCTTGGGTGTCTCTAATCCTTCTGCTCTTCGTGAAACCGTGGTTGAAGTTCCTACTGTCAAGTGGGACGACATTGGTGGTCTCGAAAATGTCAAACAAGAATTACAAGAGACTGTACAGTACCCTGTAGAACATCCCGAAAAGTTCTTAAAGTTTGGTATGAATCCCTCCAAGGGTGTCTTGTTCTATGGTCCCCCTGGTACCGGTAAAACCTTGTTGGCTAAGGCTATTGCCAATGAATGCCAGGCCAATTTCATCTCTATCAAGGGTCCTGAACTCTTGACCATGTGGTTTGGTGAGTCTGAAGCCAATGTGCGTGATGTGTTTGATAAAGCTCGTGCTGCTGCACCCTGTGTGATGTTCTTTGATGAATTAGATTCAATCGCCAAGGCCCGTGGTGGCTCTGTTGGTGATGCTGGAGGTGCTGGTGACCGTGTGCTCAACCAAATCTTGACAGAAATGGATGGTATGAATGCAAAGAAGAACGTGTTTGTCATTGGTGCCACCAACAGACCTGATCAAATTGACCCTGCCTTATTGCGTCCTGGTCGTCTTGATCAATTGATCTATATTCCTCTTCCTGATGAGAACTCACGTTTGTCTATCTTGAAGGCTACTTTACGTAAATCACCTGTTGCACCTGACGTTGACTTGAACGTTATTGCCAAGCATACTCAAGGTTTCTCTGGTGCTGATCTTGCTGAAATTTGTCAAAGAGCCGCCAAATTGGCCATTCGTGAAGATATCGAAAAGGATATTGCTAAAGAAAGAGCTCGTAAGGCTAGAGAAGAAGCTGGTGAAGATGTTGGTATGGAAGAGGAAGAAGAAGAAGAGAGCCCTGGTTTGATTACTCGTGCTCATTTTGAAGAAGCCATGCGCTTTGCTCGTCGATCAGTGAGCGATGCAGACATCCGTCGTTATGAAGTCTTTGCTCAAAATCTTCAACAACAACGTGGTTTTGGAACATTCAAATTCCCTGAAGGTTCATCTAGTGGTGGACAAGCCATGGATGGTGTCAACACTGAAAGCGGTTTTGGCCAAGAAGGTGGAGATGATGACCTGTACGCATAATCTGTATACACAAATAACAAACGCACATATATTCTACACATAAAACATATATAGCTTCAAATCTCTTCCCCCCCCCCCCCTTTCTTCTTTTTTTTGGTAATAAAAATGTTGAATACTATACACATTGTTGCAAGATAAAATATAGATATGATTGTTGTATTTAATTGTTCATGTTGATCATCACAAGGATAAATATTTTGAGCAAAAGATTTAGACCTATCAGATTTTCTTTTTTTCTCTTTTGTTTTTACTGAATGCGATTGAAAGAATTGGCGAGGACCACGCCTTTTGGTTTCCATTTTCCAGAGAATAACAAAAAAGTCAAGACAGGTAAACTCATAATTTGATCGTAATCTCAATCTAACACAGAGTCAAACCTTCAGAAAAACCACCATTGCTTAAAAGAGAAAGATTCAGATTAACCTCATTTTACTCAACATCAATGGATTCTCTCGTAAAATCAGAAATTAAGCAACATGATGAACGTAAATCAAAACAACAAGAACAAGAACTCGATTCGGTTACAGACATGTTGAAAGGTCTAAGCTTTGGTCCAGTGACCAATACAGGATATATGCTAGAGGTATGATCTACTATCGTCTTTACCTTCTCTCTCTCTTATACCTTCTATGTTAGTTACTCGAACTAAAAAAAGGCATTCTATCTGTAAGTTTGATATGGCACATGAGCGAGTGAAATAAGATGATCTGATTCTAAAAGTAGACCATCTCTCAACCTGATCTCCTTTCCTCAGATTTTGATGATCGTTATGAACAAACAGTGATACCCAAAGTGAAAGAAGAAGTCAAACCATTGACAGACCAAGAAAACAAACTTGTCGATAGTGTATTCAAACTAGGGCAGCATGGAACACTCTCAGAGTATAAGAATGCGACAGTCGAGTACAAGGATATATACAAATTACGTCCAGAGACATGGTTAAATGATGAAATTATCAACTTTTATTTTGCTCTTTTAGCAGATCGTGCCAGCCATGATCCATCTATGCCAGCAATACATTGCTTCAGCACCTTCTTTTGCTCGACCTTGAGAGAACAAGGATATGCTAAAGTGAGACGATGGACAAAGAGAGTAAGAAAAACCATAGATATATACAACGAATATATCTGATTTTTATTGTATAGGTCGATATTTTTACAAAAGACTTTTTGTTTGTGCCCATCAACAAATCCTATCACTGGGTGCTTGGTGTCATTGATATGAAAAATAAAAAGATATCCATCTATGACTCATTGCATGGAAAAGATGATTATACGTTGAAGCTTCTGCTGACGTACTTGGAAGAAGAGCATTTGGATAAAAAGAAGACGCCTTACGATACAAGTGATTGGACACTAGAGTCACCACAAAATATACCAAAGCAGGGAAATGCATACGATTGTGGTGTATTTACGTGTGCATTTGCCGAAAGAATATCAAGACAGAAACCTTTGGACTTTACTCAAAACGATATGAACCTGATCCGACGAAGAATGGTGATAAATATATTAAATAAACACTTATAAATAAATCGCTCTTATCTAGCCACAGACTGTCACAATTTACACTAGGTGACAGATTTGTGAGCCAGCCAAAAACTCATTACTAAAAACAATATAAAAATCTATAATTTGATTCATGTCATCTATTTAAGAGCTTGACAAGTGACAGAGAAAGAGCTTTTTTTGTGTATGTAAAGTATTTAACAGAGAGATTTTTGGTAAAAAATAATAGAGATCTAACGGGACATTGAAATTTCCGCATAGAAAGGTACAAAAGAAAAAGAAAACTGAAGTTTTTTTTTTTGCTTTTTATTTCTAGTTAAATCATGCCAGTGATTGCCAATCCAAGTGAACTCGACAAACAGACGTTTGACTTTGTCATTGTTGGAGGTAATAAAAGAAAAAGAAAAGAAAAGAAAAAAGAAAGGAGACTGATATTTATAAAAAGGGGGGACAGCAGGCTGTGTTTTAGCCAACCGTCTATCCTGCAGATATAGAGTATTACTTTTAGAAGCAGGAACGAGAACACATGATGATCTAGTCGAATCGCGAGTTCCCTTATTGAATAGTCGACTAAAGAACACAGAGGTAGATTGGAAGCTTCAGTCAGTCAGCCAGCCAAGTGCAGATAACCGTACAATTGGTATCCCCCTTGGAAAGATGCTCGGTGGCTCGAGTGCATTCAATGCATGTTTATGGCATAGATGCTCTCCCTCAGATTATGACGCATGGCATGCAAACGGATGGACTTACAAGGATTTGAAGCCTTACTTTTGTAAGGCTGAGTCATTTCATCCTACACACGACATTCACGGAACCTCAGGGCCCATTCACGCCACTGATTTAGAGATCAACCCTGAGTCATTGGGCCACTATTTCAAAAAGGCTTGTCAAAATGCGGGTCTACCCGACCATGATGATGTGACAGATAAGCCATGTCAAATCGGAGTGACACACGTTCAATCAAACATCTATCAAGGAGAGAGATCATCCACGGGAGCATGCTACCTGCCAAAAGACATTCTTGAGCGAGCTAATCTAACTGTTGCTATGGGTTGCCATGTTACTCAAGTCTTGTTTAATGGTGATCAAGCAGATAAGATCAGATTTAATCACCACGATCATGATTATGTTGTTCACATTGGCCGTGAGGTTATCCTATCGGCAGGAGCCCTGCTTTCTCCTTTCTTACTGTTGAAAAGCGGTATTGGGCCCAAAGATGAGCTCGCTCGACATGGAATCAACGTCGTAATCGACTTACCTGGGGTCGGAAAGAACTTGCAGAACCATTGGAGAATACCTCTTGTTCATGAAACAATTGAGCCAGAAATGTCTTTGCACAGAGATCTTTTTATAAATACTGATGCAACACTGAAGCAAGCTCTTGATCAAAAGACAGGCGCAATGACGCGTATATGGCCTGATGCTGTTGCCTATATGAAAATTAAGGTAAAATTAACCTTTAATGAAAAACACAATTAACATTTTATCTCAGGGTACTCCTGATAATAGTAGTGATATTGAAAACGCGCCTCAAATGGAGTTGTTTACAGGTGGCCTGGCTCTTTGTAAGCAGGCTGGGTCTCTGACACACATGAACTGTGCTACCCTGCTCATGGTCTACCTTGCTCCTTTCTCAAGAGGCTCAGTTACCATATCAAGCAAGGAAGACATTTGTATAGACTTGGGTCTATTGAGCGATAAAAGAGATTTAGAATGTATAGAGAAAGGATTAAGACTTTCCTTTGATATTGCAAATGATCCAATCTACAGAGATAGCTGCATAAAACGATGGATATTACCGGCTAAAGACATGGACCAGCTGAACTTGGAAGAATATATTAAAGAAAATATAGAAACCATCCATCATTACGCAGGCACATGCAAGGTAAGTGTAATAAGAAAGGCAAGGGGGCAAGCCATCAACAATTTACACCTTAGATGGGGCCTAAAGAGGATCGCATGGCAGTTGTCGATGAACGCTTGAAAGTATACGGGGTCAACAATATCCGTGTAGTAGACGCGTCGTTTTTCCCAATTGTACCTGCTGGTCAGATATGTTTCCCGGTAATTGCATGTGCTGAGAGAGCAGCTGATATCATACTTGATGAACATCAGCCATAAAAGGTATCATTATTTATTTATATAAAAAGACTGCAAAACAGTTTAATAAGCAGTTGGCTCGAATAAATGGCTGATCATTCGATCTATCTTGTCCTTATCAAAACGAATATACTTTGCTGGATTCTTTGTAAAATCGGTATTTTGATATTTATCCAGAAAGCGTCCGTACATTGGTACAATGACATTCTTTACGTCTCTTATAACTTGATTTCTCAGCTCAAGATCAGGAATCGCATAAGACTGCTGTGCTCGCACAATCTCTTCAAATTCCATATTGAAATTCTACAAATCATAAAGTAAGCAAAACAATCAAATAAAAAAGCAAAAGTTACCTTGAATCGCTCCTTAATTAATTGACGCTCAGCACTTCCCATCGAACTCTTGATAGATCCGCCTCTTACATACGTTACATCCATTAAATTCTCGACACACGGTTTCCAAGACTCTTGATAGGCATCCAACTGCTTCTTGACCAGTTTACCAAACTTCATCTCTGATCCTTCGTCAAATATAGCATTCAAAGGAGGCGATCGTATCTGACGGAGTATGTGATTGTAATTGTTTAAAAGAAACAGAGTAGCCAAGGTCGGTTTTTTGTATCCACGCGATTTAATCTGCAAGGCGACTGTCATCTGATCCAGGGCATCCACAAAGAACTTTTGCAGCAAGGCTGCGCCCATGGCTGATTCACCTGATGGCATACGATTGGAAGCGTTGGCGAGGATATCGACCGATGGCATCGTGTTCCAACCTCCATCGCCAATAAGAATGAGCAACGGCTCCACTGTATCTCTCCAGATGTAGAGACGCTTGAAGTAATTCAAAGTCTTGATAGGATATGAGTTATTGCTTAAGTTATATGCTATAAGAACTTACATTACTAGTCATTTCATGAACAGTACCATCGCTACTCAGATTCATCTGGGGATTGACTTCTTTTCTGCCACGGATATCTTCCATAAATTCATAAAAGTTTCGAAGCACTGTTAATTTAAATGTACTAATCATGTCCTGAACGTCTGTCAAAGGAACAAGCTGCACCAAGTTCTCAAGGTAAGTGGAACACTCACGATCATATTTTTCAATGATATCAAAGACAAATGCTGTCTCTGTATAATTTAACCGTTTAGCGATTGCGTTCAATTGTTTGCCAGCAGCAACGTATTCAGATGTTGCAGGAGTAATCGATCCTTTGAGGGCTGCTGCTCTTCTTGTTTCATTACTCATGATTTGTTGGGCAAACTTGTATTCTGACTCCATCATCTTGGCATAGCATTCGGTATATTTCAAAAACTCACTTGATCCTCTTTCGTAAGAAGCACCCTGGTGCTTTTCTGATTGCTGGACAGATTGAGAGAGCGGATGTAGAGATTTTTGTAGAAATGCAGATCTGATTTCTATATATGGTTTTGTAAAATCAACAGAGTATCCTGTTTCCTTTTCAGATGAAGCAATGTAAATGGACAGTTGAGAAAGCTGTTTTACGGAAGCGGTTGCCATCAATTCGCTATCTACAAACAAACGTCACCTTAGTCCCCCTTCCTCCTTTTTCTCCTTTTTTTAGTCTTTTATATTTACTTGAATTAAGCATTGTATTGATATCTACTGGATTACTAACAGACGAAAGCCATTTTCTGAACAGAGTTTCTAGATGAAGCATACCCGCTTTTTGTAATTGTTTCTACAATAAAATTCAATTTCTGCATAAATGCTCCTGTAAACGCTTGTTTTTACCATTTGATATATTGTCTTTTCGCAACCTTTCAACTGACTCTTTTCAATAACATCCACACCATCCTTTAATCTTCCCATTGCCTTTAAATAAGGCAACACATTATTCTCGTCAGGTCTATATAGACGTATACAGTTAACTATTGTGCATCGCTCGTTCCCTTTAAGTACGTACCCCTTTAGGATAAAGGCTTCTTCCTTGCTGGGCATATTCAGGCATTCGATGATGTGTTCTGTTGATTTCAAAGCCGTATCTATGTCTATAGAATGTATAAAGTTACATATTACTACTGCCGCTGATATGAGTATTACTGTTTGCCAATTTGGTCAAGTTTTGAGTTGACTTATGAATGGGTAGTATAGATGCTTCTAATTGTAATAGTCTACCATCAAAGGAATCTAATATACCCACCTTTTGCATAATGAATATGAATTTCTTTATACACCATTGCTACTTACAAGTTTATTTGATAAGCCGTTCATTCTACCGAGTTGCTTCTGTAGAGCATCTAATTCAGCAGCATCTGAATTAATATTAATGTCTAAATTACTATAATCGTGTTAATAGTTGCAATGTTATCATGACAATAGAACAAAGTAAACACCTTGACATTTGTAGTATAAGAAAGAGAAAAGGAAGAGATTATAATTTCAAACACCGTATATTGAGATGTGTTTGACATATTTTAGGTACCTTTTTTCTTTCCTTCTTTTTTTTCTCTTTATGATTGTATATTTGATTATAAATAAATTAGGAACCATTATTTATCAGTCAAATACAAAAACAAGCACTAATGAAAGTCAAAGGATTCGATATTTACCCTTACTTGTGATAAAGGACCTTATAAAAGCTAATTTTTATCAAAACTTTGAATATATCAAAGTGCAGGACAAAACAATCGTCTTTGAAGAGGTATATTTATCATCTGTATAAGGAAAGTGATCTAATTTACTTGCATATAGAGGCAGAATCTACTCTATGTTGCTTGCACCAAAAGAAATATACCTATACATATTCTACAACATCATCTCACAATAATCCACTCGTTTCTGAATTTTCATTTTGGACCACAATGGATAGTTGATAGCAGCAATAAAAAAAAGGAAATACACAACTGTCTGATGAAGCTACCGTTCATAAAGAATACAAAGCTGTCCATCTTATCAAATGATATGATGTGCTGTATGGAACAAGTGCAGATTGGAGAAGATTTAATTAACAAACTAAAAGAAAGCATGGTCAACTGCTGTGATCACAGCTTTGGTATGATTGATAAACCTATTTTTAATAAGTCAGTGAAAGCATGGGAACACTGTTTTTTATTCGCAAGAGATAAAGTCATCGCACAGTGTTCCAATAATGAGACGCTGAATGAAGAAAATTTATACTTTTTAAAGTCATTGGTGTTACAATGTGAGTAAAAAAGGGTAGAAATGATAACATATGGTTAATTTATACTTTATATAGTACCAACCAAGATGATCCCTAGCACTAGTAGTCAAAGCAACAGTAGTAGCCATAGTAACAGCAGTAGTCATAGTAAACTGTCACCACAGTTTATGATGAACAATAATATAACACTTCCCAAAAACATAAACAACCAGCGCTCCGTGTATGTCTATCATAGCTCATCATCATCTTCACCCTTTAAAATCAGAGAAAAATCAGCATCATCAGCAACGTTATTATCATTTGAATCGCCTTATTGGTACTCATCACCTGAACAACAAATGTTAAGTAATGCACCACTAATAGAGGATTCAGTATCATCGTCACCGGATTCACTAAAATGCCTATTGACGAACCTGTATAATGAAATAGAAGAAGATGTCAAGATATTTACAAGATATGTAAATAATCAATGTGTAAATATAATCGTTGTATATCTTTATCAAGAAATATCCACAGTCATCATTTGTAAACAAGATAAAAAATGGAATCATCAGATAAAGCAGTTTAAGGCATCATTTAAAAGCCAATTATCAGATTTTTATGCTTTTCTGTTAACCAAAGAATCAACACATTTCACCAATCTATCATTCACGCTAAACTTTCCTGGATTAATTCATTTTATTTATCGTGAAAATGGCATATTGATCACACCTTTATTGACCGATTTAAACGAGCTGGATAAAAATCATGAATTATTATACCAAGTAATATATCATTGTAAGAAAATAGATCAAAAGAGAAAATGGCCTACCCTGAAAGAAGTTAGACGAATGGTAATCACCTTCATCCTTAACGATTGTCACTAATATTTTATATAGACAATAGATCTACTTCATTTAGGCCTCAGTAAAGTCCAGCAAGAGACGAGGATACTGAAAGAAACAAATCAATTCTATCTATTATACGAAAAAAACTTGAAGAATCAAGAATTGTTTTGTATTTACTTTAATATATTTTCAAAAGACAGAATTTGGAATATCCATCACAATCTGTTAAATGATCTCGGTCAACGTACATCCATGTCTTTATTTACTGTCTAAAATAAATGTTATATTACTGGGGAGTTCCTCTTGCTTTTCTGTAAGGATATCTTTGATTGTCTTGCTTTCTTCTTGTTTTGTGTTGTCTAAAAGAGCTGCTACAACATCCTGGGTTGTTTCTATTTCGTTCAATTTATAATTAGGCACCTCTTTTCCGGTTTGCTTCATGCTCTCTTTTAATATCTATATGCCGCATTAGCCATGTTTATTTATTATTCTATAGGCTGCTGATTTACCTTAAACTTTGTATCCAAATCGGTCAATGCTACTTGGTTCCAACTTTGGTCATTGGCATCTTTAACATGCTCAAGAACAACAGATCGGACGATGCCTTCGATTTCTTTTTCATCATTTAAAACTTCTTTTCGCTTCCAACTATTCCAATGTACTTAGTTTATCAGTTGATCTCAATCACTTCAACTTACGACACAAATTCTTCCTTGGTTTCGTATTTAACGTCAAATGTCACAACGGGCTCCTCAGTTGTAGGTTGTGCAGGGGTAACTGATTCTTTGCTTTGTTTTTTGGCCCAAGGATTAAGTTTTCCAAATAAACCTGATTCGCTACCAGCTAATTGAGCGCTTGAAATGTGAATTCTAGACACTTGTTGAAATCGTGAAACTAAAAGTCTCTTTTGACAGGCAAACATTTTTTAACTAAAAAAAAGACAAAGGGGCCATCAAATTTTTTTTTCGGGCAGTTTGATGCACATCCCACACACCCCGTTGGCGGTCATTCAATAATAACCCAAAGGGCATGGATGTGCTTTGGAGGGTAAAAGGGAAACAGTTGCCCAATTGAACAAGATTTGTAACCTAGATCTATCACATTGAAAGAGGATTCTTACTTTTGTGCTGTTTATTCATGCCAGATAGCCATTTAGTAGCTCTTTCTCACTCACACTGACTAAAATTGATATATTTACTATAGCTTTTTACTTGTAGATGTTGCAGCCGGATAAGTCAGTTAAAACATTGGGCCACAAAGGATCTTACGTGGGCCAACTCGATTTAGCAGTTGTATGACTGCCCTTTGTGAGGGCTCACAGTCAAGTTTCAATTTAATTCTTTTTTTTTTTTAATTCGTAAACAAGCATGGCAGAAAAAAGAAGAGATATAGACACAAGCAATGGAGGTGCTCTTATTAAGCGCTCCAAACCAAATGAAGAAGAAAAGAATAAATCGGTCATCACACTATCTAATCAAAGATCTGGAACCCAAAACGCCATTGTTGGAACTGTAATAGAACTAATACACATCGCGCTTTTTATGTTAATATTTTGAGTATAGGTCAAGCGCACTTCAGCATTAGAAGCACCTGTGATGCAATTAACAGGTCATGGTGTAAAGTATTTACAACATTCACGTCATCTCGTCTATTAAACAATGTATAGGGTGAGATTTATAGCTGTGAATTTGACCCTTCAGGAGAGTTTATTGCAAGTGCAGGATTCGATAGACAAATATGTAAAGCATCATTCAGTTAATTTCATTCATTGCAACTAATATTTGATTTTACGCCTAGACTTATGGAACACATATGGAGAAGTAAAGAATTACGGCATCATTAAAGGACACGGAAACGCTATTATGGAAATACATTGGTCTCGAGACTCCAAGCAAATCTTTAGCTGTTCAGCCGACAAATCTGTTGGTATTTTTGATGTAAAGACAGGCGATAGAGTGCGAAAATGGAGAGGTCATGCAGGCATTGTGAATAGCTGTCAAGCAGCTCGTAGAGGTCCAGAAATTGTTGTGTCTGGCAGTGACGATTGTACTGTCAAAGTTTGGGATCCCAGATCAAAAGATGCTGTGAGCACCTTTGAAAATGAATATCAAGTAACCTCTGTGTGTTTTAGCGAAGCAGGCGATATGGTCTACTCTGCTGGCATTGATAACACTGTCAAGGTTTGGGATGTACGTAAGAATCAGGTTGCATACACAATGGAGGGGCATTTGGATACTGTTACTGGTATGCGTCTAAGTCCCGATGGCTCATACTTACTAACAAACTCTATGGATAATACGGGTAATGAAACAAGAAAGATGAAATATAACAAACTCATATTCCTTTTATAGTTCGTATTTGGGATATCAAACCATTTGCACCAAATGATCGTTGTCTGAAGGTGTTTGAAGGTGCTCCTCATGGGTTCGAAAAGAATTTAATTAGACCTACATGGTCAACAGATGGTACTCAAATAGCCTGTGGCTCTGCAGATAGAACAGTCGTCATTTGGGAAGTCGATAGCAAGAAAATTCTTTATAAGCTTCCTGGACATAAAGGGTGTGTGAATGATGTAGATTGGCACCCAAGAGAGCCCATAATCATGAGCGCAAGTACTGACAAGACATTATTCTTGGGCGAGGTTAAACCAACACGATCTTGATGTAAACTGTTGATTTGCTCCAAGCGGGCCATTTCAGTGACTGTTGAACTGTAAAAAATTTTTCAAAAAAAAATAAATTGAAGGCTTAATTGTGAAAGACAATTATTCCTTCTCTTTCTCCAACTTAATCTTACTTATTCAAAATGGGTCGTATGCACACTCCTGGTAAGGGTATCTCTGGCAGTGCCCTCCCCTATCGCCGCACTCCTCCTTCTTGGGTCAAGACCACTGCCGAAGAAGTTGTTGACATGATCTGCAAGAATGCCAAGAAGGGTCTTACTCCTTCTCAAATTGGTGTCATCCTCCGTGACTCTCACGGTATTCCTCAAGTTAGATCCATCACTGGTAACAAGGTCCTCCGTATCTTGAAGTCCAACGGTCTTGCTCCCGAAGTCCCTGAAGACTTGTACCACCTCATCAAGAAGGCCGTCTCCATCCGTAAGCACTTGGAACGTAACAGAAAGGACAAGGACTCCAAGTACCGTTTGATTCTTATCGAATCTCGTATCCACCGTCTTGCTCGTTACTACAAGACCTCTGGTCAACTCCCTCCCACCTGGAAATAGTATCCTTTTTATTGTTTATATACTAACCGTGATAGGATGATATTCCTTCTTTACTATGCCTATTCGAACATTACGCAGGGTTGCTCAAAGCGGCTCGGTAACTGTTCTCCTTAACCCATATTCTTGTTTTTTTATAGTGAGTCTGCTACTGCCTCTGCAATGGTTGCTTAAACAAGATTTATTGCGTCGAATTTTTAGCAAGAAATGTATATTGGATATCAACTACGTTTATTTCAACAACGAAGTATCCTTTTTCCTTGCTCAAGAGAATGAAACCAATAAAATGCAATTCATACTTACAATGCTTTTTTCTGGAATGTAAATGAGAAGAGGTATGTAAATGGTTTACAACAAAGACATTAATTTGAAATGAATGGGCCCTGTGATGACATTATATAACTATACTTGAACTTTCTCTGAGAGTTTTGTATTCACACTGGCTGAGGACCCATTTATTATCAAAATAAACTTTGTTAATGTCAAACCACATACATACCATTGCTCATGCTATGAGATTATCTGTTTTATTTTTATTTTATAATGTTCAAATTTACGAATAACGAAACTGTCTTTTTGACTAAGTTAATTGCAAATGTCAAGTTTTCTTACAATTATTCAAATGTACATGACATTACCTTCATTCTTAATAAATTAATTGTAAAGAATCGTAAAAGTTTTCTTTAGCTGGAGGATCATTACATCATCTTGCAAATGTGCTGTTGAGGTTTTTACAGTAAAAAGCCACAGGTAATGAGATCACACATTCAATCTCCATTTTCCCGTTAAATAGCCTATTTTGATTGGACAGGATAAAAATTCGGCCCTGGTTTTTGATTCAACATAATATATATGTGAGAAAAAAATTTTCAAACTAAGACGCTGTAGCGTAATGGATAACGCATTAGACTTCGAATCTAAAGATTGTGGGTTCGAGTCCCATCAGCGTCGATTTTTTCATCCTTTTTTCTATGGTTTTTTTTTGCATTCTTTTATGAAGTAAATGTATTTGAAAGAAGCCAAATTTGAAGAATTAAAACGAAGATAATTAAGGGATGCGTCCGCAATCAAAACAAGAAAACAAAAATTTAAGCATTAATTTTTATACTTGTCATGCACAGCATTTTTATATTTTTGGAAAAAAAAAAAAAAACAGAATGTTATTTTTTTCTTATAAAGGTATACCTTTTTATATCAAGCTTGCTATAGTTCATTAAGCTATTATGGCAGCACTATAATTAAGGTAATATTTTCTTTTACTTCTCTTACTTAAAGCCTATTCTGATTCCTTTAAACTTACCAAGGTCATAAAGTTAAAACAAACAATTACGGTATTGATATCACGTTGGTTATTTTGCTTGCAAGATATCATGTTATATAATTTCTATATGTTTAAGCACTCATTGAAAAGCAAACACGCGTAAAGGATACAAATAGTTTTTATTTTTGCTTATTTATTATTGCTTTAATAACCTCGTATCTCAAATTACATATATAATCCCACTAGGCTTTCGAAATGAATAACAATCTTCATACACATATCTTGTTTATTGCAAATTTTCGTTCACCTTGCTCTTTTTCTTTTAAAATATCTTTAGGATAGTTAGACGCTTTTTTATTATTGTTTACTGCTATATATCAATTATATTTGCTTGCATATCTTAACTGGTATAAATATCAAAACTCATATGTAGTTGCTACTTTGTATCATTCTACAGTTATCAACAATAACTTGAGTAGATATTAAATTAACCCAAGCGTCAAGGATAATGCAAAAGTCAGAATGATTGAATAGTAATCCAACTTTTTATATATAAGAATTCGACATTTTAGACTTAATGCTCTTCAATTGCGTTTAAAAAAAGGTGAGTGAGGTGGTAAAAATATGTTTAGTATACACTTTATCATGAATCACTTTGAAAATTTCAGGTACATTGTGTATTCTCGTATTATCATAATAATATTCACATTATGTAATCTAACCCTTGTTCAAAACAGATGCTTCAATAGTATAATGTACATAATATCTAATACTTACAATAAAGTCAAACATTCATTGGCGAGAATATTTTGAAAGGGCTCTTCGAAATACACAAAAACGCTGAAGTTTCGAAGATAATCCTCCCTTATGAATTGTCCATCTTTTTTCCTTTTTTCTTTTAAATAATATATAGTGCCATTGGTGCCAGTTTGATTATTCTCAGCGTGCAGTTTCAAGATAATGTAATCGAAATATCTCATCTGTAGTATCTTTGATGCTCTAATGGGAATCAAAAAGCACCTGCTTTATTTTTTTATTACCATACCATGTCCTTCTTGATTTGCAATTTTTTTTATTCTATAAAGGATCGAGTGTGGCCAAACAAGAATAAAATATACTTGCTTTCACTTAGTAGGGCTATAAATATATATATATTTAAAAAAAAAAAAAGAGAGAATCAAGCACTTGTCATAACTAATGAACAGAGTATCTGTTTAACTCGGTTAAAATAATGATTTTTTACTAAAATTAAAAAGTAATAAAGTAATTAAGTGGGGGATATCAATAAAGACAGAATATGCTCAAGATGAGGTATTGTTCAGTCATCATCACAATCGTTAGACTCTGATCCACGCTAATCCAAAGAAGCATTTGTAAAAAAATTATTACATGCTTGTTTCTTGGTTTCAGTTATTGATTTCATGGATTATGATTTTGTCAAATGAGTTTTCTGTATAAAAGTAGAAATATGACAAAGCCAGCCCGTATTTCGTTGTGTAAACACGAATACACGAAGAGTTAACACATTATACGAGCAAATGGTCTTGGTTTTTCCTTCCTCTGTTATTCTGTCTCTTGTTCTATTTCTTCCAGTCTCGCTCAAGAAGATGAAGACCAATCTTTGTCTCATTTGCTTTATATCATTATATGTAATACAAGTTTGAATAATAAAAACAAGATTGATAACAACCAAGATCACGTCTTATGAAGTGTAATACTTGTAAAAGCAAACTTTCACAACAGTAGTCTCTTGGTCTATAAAGAAACTCATCTTCAATCTCACATTATCTCCAAAAAAAGTCCAATTTTAGCCTAAAAAGCTTTAGTATTACAAAAGCGGGATGAAAAGAATATCATGTTAATAATAGGGTGATAAAAGTGAATGAATGACATTTTGGGGGTAAAATAAGAAAAAAAAGGTAGAGAAAATAAGGAGAGTATCGGGGAATAAGGAAATCTACTTTGAATTGGTTTTCCTGGAGAATTCTTTTGAGGAAACTTGCTGCAAAGTATAAAGTACACGTTTGGCTATTGCGTTAATATCTCCATCCATATCTTCAACATTGTCATTTTGTCCGGCTTTTGATGTCTGTGCTTTATTCACTATTCTCTGTACTGATTCCAATATGGGGTGTGAATCACCAATCAAGCTGATGAGTCTTTCATCTATAACAGAATGATAAGTCATGTGTTTCGTTTCATCGCAACCTATGGTTACCTCCACCATCCAAGAATTGTTCGATGGTCCAAACACCAATATGTTGGAAGGCAATGTCTTGGTCTTCTGAAAGGAATCGGATCAAGAACCTTTCAAGTCCGCCAGAAGGTGTTTTCCAATTCTTAACAAAGGGCATATAATCAGGGACTATTGCATGCATAAGTGACTTGTCATGTTTCTTATTTTCTTACCCTTTGAACTAAGGTTTCCAATAGCTGCAGCAGAATTTCCTTCTACTTCCAAATTGGGATGTGAAGTTAATTCAACCAAGACATCCAACACTCCCATACTCAACAGTCTCTGCTTCAGCTCGTCGCTCAAAGCCAAGACAGCAATGGCGGCTGTCATTTCTGTTTGGACACTCAAAGGAACCTTGTTGATCAACGTCTTGATGCGCTCGACAGCACCTGCTTCGACAATAGCGCGCTTGTTTCTTTCTGAACTAGCTGCAAGATTGCGAAGGGTTGATATAGCATGACATTGAATTTCCTCGTTATCATCATAGGCTAACAGCTCAATCAGTGGGTTGACAAATCCTCCATCAATAATGGGTGATTCATTAGCAGGGTGTATGGATATATTACGAATACAGGCAACAGAGGATAAGATGAGTGGTAAAAATGAGGATTTCAAAAGACGTAAGAGAGGCGGAAGACCTTTGCATCGTACAATCTCCAGCTGGTATTTCTCTAAGTGAAAAAAGAGAGAGAGTTAGCATCAGCAGTTTACAATCGTATTTTAGTTCCTACCATCAGATGCAAGATTTCTAAGCGCAAGTGCAGCTTGACACTGAACCTTTAAGCTCTTTGTATCCATCAATGCAATCAAATATTGAACCAGCCGAGAATCTGTTTGTGCCAACTTTTTGCGGTTACTGGCTGCAAAGAAATAAAGACATGTTAGTGTCCCTTTGCTTTCTTTTCCATTTAAAAGTTACCATCTACTGCGATATTAGAAAGTGCTGTAGTACAATAGTACTGAACATCGGCATCGGGTGAGCTGAGCAAACTGATGAGAACGGGGATCGCGCCTGCGTTGACCAGCTGTTGACGGTTTTCCTCTAAATGGTAAATGAGTTATCGAAACAAAAAAGTAAAAAGAAGGCATATTTTACGTGTGTGTGTCATATTTAATAAAGCCCCTGTAGCATTCCTTTGTACTCTTTGGTCTTTTGACTTTGCCAAGTCTACTAAAAGCCTGAGTGCATCAGATTTAGCAATCTTTGTCTTGTTTTCATCTACAAAGCTCTATTAGATTTGCTCTGCATTATTCATAAGTCATATATATATTTTACCATGAGTAGCAAGGTTTGTGATACAACCAACAGCATTGCACTGAACCTCAACGTTAGGTGATCCCATCTGGCGGATAAGTTGCTCAAGACCTCCAAGCTTGACGATCAAAAGTTTATTTTCAGCTTTAAAACCCCTTTTAATTTCAGCATTGACACTTTTTGAATGTTTCTCCAACACTTACTATTAACAGCAAGGTTACCGAGGGCAGCACTTGCCGCTCTTTGTACTTCAACGTCGTGGGACTGTAATAAGAATAAGATAGGATTCAAAGTATCACGATCTACTTGGCGGACATCCTTTTCTGTAATTTCAGCAAATGCAAGTGCAGCTGATCTCTGTAAGTCGACATTGTCTGAGTATGCTAATATAGAAAGGGCCTGTAAAGGTTTTCCTTCAAAGAAGTTGGTATCGCTTCGATCTAATAAAGTTGTTATAGGTTTAGTTTGACTTCCTTTGTAAAGCAGCTTACTTTCAAGATATTGTAATAGTTCGGCAATTGCTTCTCGTTCATTCTCTTGTAGGAGGGGCTCATATAGACCATTCTTATTTTTCTCTAAGTTTTAAATGAGAACAGGTTGTCAATATCGTGTGTTGACTGACTTACTTCCAAAACAGCTTGAACAGCAGCTACTACAGGAATTTCCCATTTGAAGGTTTTATTCTCAAGTAAAAAAAAAAGATGACTTTGTGTTTAATGAAGGAAAAGAAAGAAAAGAAAAGAAAAAATAAGGAGGAAAAAAAAAAAAAAAAGGTCTCTGCAAAGTAGGCAAAAAAAAAAAAAGGTTCTGCGACACACACACTTTTTTTTTCTTTTCTGTTCTGCAACCTCAAACACAAATAAGGCGCTCAGTGATGTGACGTAATAGTAATGGTCCTTTTTTTTTTATGAAAGTATTATTTATGGTAGATACACAGTTCATCAATAAAAAAGGTACATGTTAACTTTAATGCATTTACTTTCTGAGTTTCCTTTCCTCTTTAAGCCATGCTTTGCCCATCAATAATAAATTAATAAAGTCGTACCTTTTCGGAAATTATTCAGACATATTTCGGACGATTAGTAACAGATGTCCTTGTAGAATAAAAAATACTACTTTATTCATAACGGTTATTATTTCTATGTGTTGGCTTAAGTTCCACTGCATCTTCATCTTGATCGTCATCATCTTCAAGAAACGCACTAGAAGCATCCAATATTGTGTTTTCACTATCCACTTCTGTGTATCCCTCATTGTTATGGTTTGGATAATGTGTCAACTTTTCCCAAAGATAAATTAAACAAAAGGCAAATAAGAAAACAACAAGTCCAAATGAAAGCAAGACGTTCATATATGAGCTAATATCTATGCCCATATATGCGAGTAGCCCGAGTTGTTCTTCTGTTGATCCCATAAATAATAGACCAGACAGTATCAATGTCTATTCATTATTTAGAATATGGGTTGAATATAATACGTATATAAACTTACTAGAGGTGGAAGATATTGCCAGGGCGATATGGTGTCATATTGTCCTTCTTTCCAGATAAAGCAAATTTCAATAATACGGCTTAACCCACCAGCCATGAGCATGTATCCAAAATACGAATGAATAGCACCACTGTTGGCGACATGTTGAGCATGTCCTTGGAAAGAAACTGCAGTCAAGATGATCAACACAGAAGGTATAACAGATCGTTTCCCGTTACGACTTAGTACGATGCCTACCAATCCTGCAGCCCACCAGATGATACCCATAGATGTATGCTGATAGTCTCCATGATTCCAAGGCTGTCCCCATCTGTGTTCTGTGAAAGTGTTGACAATACCCCAAAGCATAATGACCCAGCTATCATACCATTCTTGACTCTGTCCTCTGCGTAACAACCATGGCCCGCCTACACGCAAAGATAACAATAGCAAGATACCATAGCCAACAAAAGATGAGCCCATGATGAAGTGAGCCAAGCATTGGCCTGTATGATCTAAAACATATTTAGAAAACATGTCATCTTAACCATGCCCTTACCTCCATAACAGAAACCAAGTGAGGCTATCACACCAAGCACGATCTGAACATAGCCAATGACTGGAATAGCTGCTCCAGTGATTTTATGAATCTTGACAAGTGCAGGTCGTATCCTACCATGAATGCTTTTCTCTAAATGAAGCTTTAGATAGACACCCAGTCCGAATTGAATGAGTACTGTCCAGATGACGATATCAGCAAACCATCGATGAGCTATATGTGGCTCCTATATAGATACTGATGAGCTCTTACCCAAAATAGTTTGTTTATTTTTTATCTTATCAGTTGTATTTTTTATTACATAGTTTCTGCCATTGTGTGCATGAGCTAGAAAATAACCAATGACGAATAAAGTCGATGCTAAAACCTGTGTTGGTACATGCCATTTATTTTTAGCTAATCCCAAGACCATGCCTAAAGGGTATAATATGCCAAACGCTTTTTTATATAGAGATTAATCAAGGTTTCTGAAACTCAATGATTCTTTTTTTGTTACATGTCACCATAAATGCAATATGAAGTGTCATGATTAAACCAATAGGTTCATTTGTTGCTGCACTCTCATCAAACAGTGAAGGATCGAGATTATGACTGTGTCCCATTCCACTGTCATGGTCATGTTCTGACATATTTAATAAATTAAAATATAAAGAGAAAGAAATAAAAAAAAAAAAAAGATGTGTGGCATTTTACCTTTAATATAAAAATGGATAAATGAATAATAATAACCTTGTTCATACTATTATATACCTGTGCATATGGTATTAAGGGATATCTAGTAAGCATCGAATCTTATTTGCTTGCTTTTCTTGTAGAAAATAAGGGAGTATAGCCATGGCAGCAGGTGATTAAAAAGTGTATACACATATTCAAAAGAAGAGGAAGTAAGCAACCAGATGACTTTTCACAAAGTCTTTTTTGTCACAAGAACAATCCGTTTTGATATTAAATAAAGAGAGAAAGCAAGAGAGAGAGAGTGTGTTTATGCATCCCAAAAAGAGGTGGCCTTAAAGTTTTGGATTGTGATTGTAGACAAAGACATACTACTCTCTATTGCATTTAGAGTGTAAATCTCGGTATAGTTCCAATAAAGGCTCTTGTTTATTTATTAATAAAAATTATTCATAAGAGGGGCACCGCACAACACAAGATCGTTTATAAGTAAACATGACCTTTTTCAAAGAGCTTCCTTTACTCATCAAGTGTTCAATTTGTTCAGTCGTTCCAAAGGTTTCGATATTCCTGACATCAATGGTAGTGAGGTTAATAAGTTGTTGAACCATATCCAAGATTGCATCCTCTCTGATCTGACTACACCATTGAAGTATAATACGTTGTAGCTTAGGCAGACCACGAGCAATGTTCTTGACGGTTAGACTATCAACCCAGGTACAGTAAGAGAGATCAAGATGGAGAAGCCGTGACGAAGAGAGTCTGAGCATGTCTTCGAGATGATGTGAACTGTCAATGGATAAGCATGGTTGAATCATAGTGTTGCTCAAATCTAAACTAGTGAGTCTATACTGACATGCTTTACCAATAAGGGCCAAGATGTCCTTGGATAATTTACAATCAGCTAATGATAATGAATCCATCGTCATTAGATTCTTTTGGACAAGTGAATGAATCACAAAAGGAGACAGATGAGTGCATTGATCAAGGTGAATCTGTCTAAGATGATCCAAGTGTAGTAATGATTCTTGAAATAATCTGTCAGTGATATATTGATGTACAGGTGTAAGATTCAACACTCGTACAAAGGATTGGGCATACGCAGTAATTGTAGAAAATTTATATAATTGCTCCTTGGTCAACACTTTGGGATACTTGTAAAGCACTTGGTATGATACAAATCTCCAATATGAGTTTACAAGTGCAATGGAACACAAGTCTTTTTTGTCGAGTCTACTTAGTATATTTTCATTCACTTCAAATGGTAATCGTTCCATTTATTATTATTAAAAAAGAGAGGAAAAAAAAAAAAGAGGCAGAATGCATAAATTTAAGCAAGGATATATATATATATTTTTACAAGTTAAAACCCTTTACTTACCTCAAGGATTCAAGATCTACGAGGTATAAAGCCAACCGAAAAATTTCGAACAAAAGGCATTGCAGGGTGGTTCATTTGTCTCATAAAGGATGGCAAAATAAGTGTAGATTCTTTGAGTGATTCCAATAGTTGATTACAATAAGCATCAGGATAAACTAATTGATCTGCGGATCTATCGTTTGACCATAGCTGTATACTCTTTGCTACATGCTCATCTTTATCATTCGTACAGTCTAAATACGTAATCTTTATCACTTGCATCATGTTAGTAAGGGGGTATGTTTAAAGTGCTGAGCAGTTACCTCTTTCTTTTTTCAATGTCTCCTTGTTGTTATAAATAATACTTGTATCCCAATTGAATAACCAAATCTATTAAACATATTATTATCCGTTGTATATTTCGGCAAACACAAGGAATGCTTACCAGTGCAAAATGACGTGTACTTTGCCGACCTTGGATTAAAAACTTGTGTGTTGCGTGAATTTTAGCCGTACTGATCAAGTCAGACACAAAGAAATCTATAAAACCAGGTTGCTCCTGCAGATTGGGTAGAATTGAGATACTATACTTAAAGAGCTTTACTGCTAAAAGTTGTATTTGATCATCTAATAAAACATTAGATTATTATTTTTTGTATTATTTTATCATTATTTACTTTCTATGCAATATTGTCCTTCGCCCACTGCTTGTTGACAATGACTGCAATTGATAGCAATCCATTTTGTCATTGTGCCGCGTTCCCACTAAAATGTTTCCCAAAAAAGAGGGTCAATAAGATGTGTAAATAAAGAATTGTATGACACGGTAGTAGTTCGTTGGTCTGTTTTTCATTCCAACAAACTGTTTATAATTGTCATGTAATTTATCTTGGATTTTTGTATCGGCAAGAACGATGATGTCTATAGCATCGCCTACCTTCTTGAAATCCTTTGTTTTATATGTACTTACATTTAAACGATCAGCAACCACCTTGTCCATTTGTGTTGAATTGGCAATTATATCGTCAGGATGAAGTAAGAAATAAGTCGATCCGACCAATAAAACAGTAGGTCGAGCAAGGATGGGTCTCATACGTGCCTGGTGTTCTTCTGGTTTGGTTTCATGACATATCCAACATTCAACCAACTCATACCAGTGTTCTGAAGGTAAATCCTTCAACTTGTATTCTTTATCTTTCAAAAAGAGAGGTTGGGCGCATACTTTGCATTGAAACTCGCTCAATTCTCTTAGGACAGATGTACTCCACCACTCTTTGACTTCTGTTTGCTGTGATCTTGGCTGTTGAGTTTGTCGACATTGCGAGAGTTTTACTTCCCAAGGAACAAGACCGTCAGTTGGTTGGTCAACACGAGATACAATCCAATCTTGGGGCGAGATGGATAGACCAACTGTTGATAAATCTATTTTTGTTTCTGAATCCAGTATGAGTTGATTATCGGCCACTTGAAGTTGCTTGGCTACGTCATATTCAGGTTCAGCTAATATAGTTGCGCGTACTATATTGATATTGCCAAGCTCTTCAGCATAGAAGGGAATCATTTTTTTTAAAAAGAAAGAGAAAATATTTTTTTTTTTCGTAGAGGAAATCGCAGCCACAGTTACACACTCTTTTCTAATGGCGGTCTGTTTGCTTGACAATGTCTGAAAGAAAAAATCTTTAGTAATAGAAGAGAAAAGAGATAGTTTATATACCAAAATAAGGATGTTTCATTGCTTTCTTTGCAATCAATCGCTGTTAATAATCATACCTTAATGATTTATCCAAAAAAGCCAATAATTCGTTCGACATGTGCTCTCTATTGTATGCAGTAGCGAACCTTTAACAAAGGAGAGACTCGACATCTAACATATTGATTAAAGCAAGTAATAGTGTGTAAGCTATAGCTTGCGATCGAATAATTCCTTCATATTGTGATTCAAGTGTTAGATTGTACTTTTCCGGCTATTTACAGAAAACCATACCAGCCAACGTAGCACTATAACCCCACGTATCTAAGCTGTAATTATGTAGTTGAGGGTTCACCATTGGCCCTTTAGAGCATAGAGAAGATGATCTAACATCATATTTGGTACGAGGTATGTAAAAGTCTGCTAATCCTGTCGATAAGTTCCAGCTATTAGAAATGTCAGTTTATTAGCTTCTTATTTGTTATACGGTGGTTCCGATGTCCGTTTTCCAACGAACTGAATTCGCTTTGGTCTTCGAACAAAATTCGTTTTATATCAATCGATCTCCGGTTTGCTATTGGCCAAAGCTCGCATTTAGCGTTGAGAACGAATTTCGACCAATAAAAAAGTGAACTTTGAGGAATGTAAATGCGTATTTTGGAAACTTATACAGCATACGCGAATTTATGGTGCGCGCAACTTCACTTTTTTTTATAACGTCTAAATCTTTTTTAATAACAAGCAACTAAAAAGTCACTTTCTATTATTTCTGATTTCGTAATACGTGTGTTGTTCATTTTGTTTGATTGATTTAAAGAAAAAATATCTTACGCACAAAAAAATTCTCTTTGGTCAACGTAAGTTTTTTTATAAAACTTACTCAGCAAGGCGATGATTGTGTGTTCAAGGGCTTCTATGCAATCTCTTTCTATGATGTTCAACACGTGTTCTGGACGAACAACGATCGTTCATTTCACCACTGAACTGGAGGCTTTCAGGCAGTCAAAAGGAGGGTTATGGACATTCGATTGGAATCTTTACGGGGGGGGGCAAAATGGTTAGTTGGGAGCTGGTTATCTGAGACCATGGCTGTGATAGACTGTTGATGGTGCTTTCTGCTGCCTAGCTGACATAAGCTAGCTGACAATTGACAAGGTTCAGCGAACGCATATCCCAACAGTACGTCTGCTACTGTGGGTCTTTGCAGACTGCTTGGTATTTGATGGCCTGATGGTTTTTATGGGTGCCTGATCCCTTGTTCTGATGGTCAATGGCCGACCTGAAGAATGCCGTCACAGCAGCAACCAGAACCTTTAAAAGTCTTTTGGCATCGTTACTTATCTTTTTTCTTCTCTTTCAGGTTTTCTTTGGTGAAAAACATTAGCTTTTGGGAATAAGCTCTAATAAATAATTTTTTTTAAATGACTTAAACTTTTGTCTTTATTTATATTGAAAAGAAGTAGGTTTTTTTTCTAAATCACTTAAGTTATTACATTGAAGATATGCCCAGTATCAGAACTATAGCAATGCCCAATAGATACAACCACACCCTTATTACGCACTGTTGATTAACTTGACACTGAGAAGCTCACAAGAATCCAAGCTACAGTGGAGTTAATGAGTACAAAAACATTTAAACACAACAGCTATTGTCAATAGATTGGATGCAAAGTTAGAGTATATCAAAGCATCTGTTTTATGAAACAAGATGTAGTACTATGAGTGAGTAGTACGATTTTATTGATTTGGTAGAAAATATCCAAAAGCTGCCAGGGCAAAAAAGAGATTGTATATAGATGTTATTCGACTAAAGGTTTTACTTGCAGTGTAAAGCCAATTTTATTACTTTTTAAAAGCAAAATAGTCAATATATTATGAGCAAAGTATAAATATATTCAGTGCATTGCTATAAACCATGATTGCTGATACAAAACCTATAAAGAGTGATAGAACATAAACAAAGCTATTGTTAAAAGCATATTCTATAAGTTATGCCCCTTTAAGTTGCAGCATTCAAGCATAAATCGAATTATATAATACATTTCGCTTGATCAGCCTTCAGTTTCCTTTCAAAAGAGCATTTTGCAGTCTGGGGGAGTATTACATTTTTAGATTTGCAGTGCCTCTAGTATTACCCTTATTATTCCTGCTAAACCCTCTGCATGGAATCTGCAAATGCCTATAACGCAGAAAAAGAATATGGCCAACTTCCTCTTATACGTGACATTTTCCAATCAGTGTATGTTGCTACTGCCTTCAGTACTTTGGATCTGAAGTCTACATTTAGTCAGTTTCCTGTCAATGAATAAGACCAAATTAGGACAACAGTCACTGTATCTAATAACTTACAATATATCTACAGAGGTGCTCCTTTTGGAATTTCTGACCTTATTTAAAGAACTTCCTTAAAGTATTTTGTTGATGATATCTGCATTGCTAGTTCTCTATGCATGCCCATCTCTTTCATATGAAAAAAAAAAAAAAATACTAACACTCACAAAAGCTAATTTGCTGTATAATTAATCATTTAAAAAAGCAGTTTTATTTAAGTTTTCATGCAAAAAAAAAAAAAGGTTTTGTATGTACAATTGCGATTTAATCAATCTCAATCAGCTTTTTAGACTCCTCACTTGACTTTGGAACTGTCACCTTAAGAACACCATTTTCATAATTGGCCTTGATACCGTCAGCTTTGATAGGTACAGGGAACGAGAACGACCTTTGGAAACTACCAGTGACTCTTTCATTAACCCACCATTGAGGTGTATTTGTTTCTTTAGATACAGCTGTCTCACTGGAGCCCTCTACTTGTTGTTGCTGTTGCTGTTGCTGTTCTTGGTTACTTGAGGCTTCATGCTGACGGTTCATGGTGCCGCTGAGAACAAGTGTACGACTATCGGCCAATTCAATTTGAATATCTTTCTTGTCATAGCCAGGTAACTCGGCTTGCAGTTCAAATGATTCAGGTGTTTCAACCATGTCGGTAGCCGGGTATCGAAGTAGTGAGTTCCAATTATTGTTGTTGTTGTTTAGATTACTTGCTACCAATGAACGACGAGCAGCATCAAAGAAGTTGGGATGCTCCAAAAGAGAAAAGGCTCTTTGCATATCACGGAAAACGTCAGAGAAGAATCGCTGTGAGAGTGCCATATTGAGTAACTAAGCAATGAAAATCTTGATTGAGAATCAAAGGTGAATACATCCTCCTTTTATATCTTTTTGACAGTGGTAAATAAGCTCAATTTCTAGAAAGTACTAACACCCCACTCACAAAGCATCAGAACTTTCGTTCATTTGCTCCATTGTTCCAGTGCGTTCGAATTTGATAAATGCGTATCGGAGATTAAACTAAATTTATGCAAAGTGCATGCGCAGCAAAATGGTGGTTTATTTACACAATGGGAGGTTATTGAACGATATTTTGAACCCGTTCAGTGACAGCAATGACACTATCTGCATTTGACTGGATCCATGACTTGAGATTTTGGATGCCTTTGGACATGTAATCAGCAGAAGGAGAGCCTTTGGTGAAAAGTTCGCTTTCATCTGTTGTTTTCAAACATGTGATGTCATATTTGGGATCATAGAGTTCAAATCGTATATTGGCAAGACCAATCACTTGGCCCTTGAGATTAGATGAAAGCTGTATGGGCAGACGAAGATCGATACGGCAAATCGCCTGACTCTGGTCTGTAACATACAGCTCCTGTCTCCACAGTTTACGTTCATTGATCTGTTCAAGCTTAGGAGTCCCACTCTCTATATATAAAACAGTGAGGATTGTGGAGGCTTTACTTTTTATATATATAACTTACGTATGATAACAACAGCAACGTTGAAATCCAAGGAGCTGTCCTGTTGATGGATATCAGAGCATGATGTGATACATCGAGGCACATAGTAAGGTGACTTGTGTTCCACAGCAGCAGGTTCCCACCGTGTCATTCGCGTGGTCTTGAAATAGTGCCCAGGGTATCGTTTGTTTTTTGGGTGGTATGGCATGACAAAAAAGATTTTATATCGGCTGCCTTCGGTAATATCCATATGGTTAAGCTCGTTTGCGTTCTGTAGTAAAAGTGTTGCCCATTCTTCTTGAGGATATTTGGAGTAGGCACAGTAATCGCAAATACGTATCTTAAAATATCCAGATACCCGACGTTCTTCTGGGCTAGGTCGTGTCTCACTGACATTGCTACGTCCTTCACCACTAAAGTTGGGAATAAGTAGAGTGGGATCAAACATATCACCATATCCGCAGCGGATCTCTTCCTCTTCCCTCGCTGTTCTTGTCACCATTTTACCGTTCGGCAGTGTTTCGGTATAGAGCATAGGAAATTTGCGACATACAATAATATCCAATGCGGTTACCATGCCGCCGTCGTCAAATATCGTTGGTAAGCTCCGGATGATATATTTTTTTGGATGATAGCCTAGACGTGTGTCCCACGCTGCTGGCAAACATCCATTAGCTGACAATAATAGCATTCTACCAGCGTTTTCATCGTCCAAACCTGGTTGTGCCGTGCGACCGCCTACGAGTTGTGCACCGCAAATAGAAAGTTTGTGTCCAATCTTTAACCTGCCTTTTGCAATGGCGCGTTCCATTCGAGCATCAATGCATGCAGAAACTTGGTACCAGCCATCAGTAAGCTGTAGTTGATATTTAGATGCTATAATAAAGATTAGAAAAAAAAGAAATTGACTACTGATCCACAGACTTACATGTATTGTAGTATGCAGGCGCTTTGATTCCAATTATATCAGAAATAGCTAAAATCATATGCTTAGCAGCAATATCATCTTGTTCTAAAATCTTTTTCAGCACAGGTCGGTGGCCCTGATTAACCTCTCGTTCGTATCTATACAGTAGTTGATGAAACACTGTCTCTGGCTTCCAATCCTTCATGAACACGTCAGGGTATGATCTGATTTGACAAGCTAACTTCCAAACGATCCAACGATAGTGATTTTCTATCCAGCCAAGCGTGACTCTATGTGGCAGTGCACCAGCATCCAATATTTCCGTTTGTGCTTCTTTCGGCCCCCAGTTATCAAATCTGTAGTTTACTGAGGTTGTGCTCGTCATGTCAATGATCTCAGGGGGTCTACAACACTCGTTAATTTAGCATAATAGCTTTATGAATATAACTTACATCTTTTTGGATAAGAGTTCTTGTCTTGTATATCTTGATGGTTTTCCCAAAGAAGAAAGCCTCATGCGTTCTTTCGGTACTACAAGTACTAAAGTTAGCAACCCTGTTCATTTGATGCTCACTTTTTTTTCTTCCTTTCTTTACCTGTCAAATCAAAAAGAGTAGAACCGTATGTACGAGGTGTGCTTCTATTTCCGATGGCTGCCTTTGTCAATTCAATATTAGATCGGATGATGGGTGATTTGAATGGCTTGTTTTGTTTATTCTTTCCGAGCAGTGATGTCTTGTATCGCTTATTGCTGGTCTCTTGCACACTCTTACTCGAAAGAGATCTAGTAGGTGATGATGATCGACTATAGAGAGATACAGAGCTAACGGTGCGTTTGATGCCTAGATGATTATTATTGCTTTCGACCTGGTTGTTGTCAAATAAGGATTCTGCTAATTTTTTAGATTCTTCTTTAGGAGCAGCCAGAACTTTCCCAGAGGCTGTTGTAAAGAAGGAGCTCATTTGGGCTGACTTGGTTGTATTATCTGTAGTGTCGAGTAGTTTATCGCAATCTTCAAATAAGGCCTGTGCCTTTTTTATAGCCTCTTCTGATACAGGTTTCAGCTGTTTTCCTGAAGCTGTTTTGAATCCTGAAAATGAAGGTGATGGTGCAAGCTCTACAGCCTCTGTGAGTAGATCATGTGCCTTTCGTATGGCATCTTTTGATACTGGCTTAAGAGCTTTCCCACTTGCTGTCTTGAATCCAAGTTGTGTAAAATCTATGGGTTGTACCACTCCTTTGTTGAGATCACTAGAGGAAGAAGTAGAGGAAGAATCACTCATGTTGACTAGAGCATCGTCGTCAAATTCATCCCAAATGTGCTCTTCGTCTTCATTAGATTGAACAAGTGATTTGTCTGCCACAAGAAAATGAATAACATGTTTTGTAAATTCTTTCTATTGTTTACCTATTTTTGTTGTTGTTGTTGATGATTTCTTGTTGGAGGATATTTCTCTAAGTGGGTTCGTTTTCTTTATAGCTGGTTTCATTGGAGTGTTTATGAGCTCGTCCATGAACACGTCAAATCCTACAGATGTACTGCGGGTTGATGTACTACTATTTTGTGAATAAGAAATCGAGTTTTCCTTATTGCTTTCATTATTATTAATATTAATATTATTATTCTAAGATATATTATTAGTATATATCAGCCATTCTAATAACAATAAGATTTACTATTCCTAATATATCAAACAGATCTTCATATTCTGAAGACATGCTATTAAAGAAGTGAATAATAAGTCTGAAATTTTTTATTTAAAAAAGTCGCGCTACCCCAATAATAAAAAACCGAATTATAATTAGAAATCTATGCAAGACTGTATACATCAAATTACACTGCTTTCTGTTGGCTTAAAGAAATGCTAGTAAGTACTCCTTTTTAGTTTTTGTAAAATATAAGCTATTTATAATAAAGGGACTTTATTGCTGAATCCATATACAAGATGTCCTTTATTAATAAAGTCTTTTGTAAATTAGTTTTTATATAACCAGGATCAAAATATCGTCATTATTATGCGAACATTCAATCGCTTGTCAAATTGACGATTAGAGAAGCTACTAAAGTCAACAATCACGCGGGATATGAATAAAGTTGATGTCTTTCTCTTTCTTTTTATTGTGTTTGTGAATTGACTGAAACAAGAAATAGTCAGTAGAGAAAAGTCTGTTTGGATAATCTTTTTCTTTTCCCCCAGTAGTTAGTCGGAGAGAGAGAGAGAGCTAAAGAAAGGATTAAATGCATATAAGATCATTGGCCGGTAAAGTAAACTGTATAAATTTTTTATTTTAAAAAAAAAGAAAATTCCCCCCGAAAGAAAACTTTTTCTTTTTTTTTACTTATTTATTTTATATATACGCAACATGTATTTCTATAATCAAGATAAAGATGACCCTTCCAACTACAATAGTCCAACTTATTATCACACAGAAGACAATATAAATAACACGAATCAACTATATTTTGGACAGTCTTTTGACGAGTTTTATGACGATAGCTCATTTTTAAACTTTGACATGCAACACACAAGTCATAGCTTACCTACTTCCTTCTTCTTTCCTTCTGAAGCAGGCTTGCAACAACAACAACAACAACAACAACAACAAGCTATCTTATTTTCTGACCCAAACTTTTTAAGGCAGCAGCAATTATTAGAAAAGGCAGAAGCGGATTCAAGAGCTGCTGCTGCTGCTGACATGGATATGGTCAAAAAGGAAGAAGAAGACCAACATGAATCCTGTATGGTTCGATCTAATTTATCAGCCATGCTTGATCAACAACAACAACAGCAGCAGCAGCAACAACAACAACCATCACAACAGCAACAGATACAATTGGAGCCTATACCCAAAAAGAGACTAAGTCAATTGAATGGCAAGAATGGTATGGGAGAAGGGGGTATTGATCACCAAAGAAGATTCAACGAGTTACAAGCAAGGTTTAGAATTAATTATAGTAACAAAAAGCCTTCAAAGCAGCAGCAACAGCAACAAACATTAGATGGTAAATCATATGATCATTTTTGAAATGTATAGAGTAACTGATAGAATATAGATAACACAGGTATTGGTAGAAGAAAGTCATCGCTCGATCCTTTAGCAAGCAACAAGAATATATTGAAGCTAAATAACAATGGAAGAAAGCTGGGTAGCAATGGTGTTTCTGTTACAGCAAAGAAGATATCCAACAATAACAATAGCAATAACAATACGGCAACAACAATCACGACAACGACAACCGCAGTGAATATTCCAATGGATAGTAATAACAATACGTCATCATCCATACCTACCGCGCACTCATTTCCTTCACGTACAATGCCTATTCAGATACAAAGAGTTCATAGAGCCAACTCAAATCAACCCTTTGACTTGGAGCAAAGACAAAAGAGGTTAGACGATCAACTAGTTAAAGTAGATTTTGATGATATCACAGTGTCTGAGCTAAAAGAGATGCTACGTCAAAGAGGCAAACCGGCAACAGGCAAAAAGGCTGTCCTACTACAAAGGCTGCAAGAGGAACGTGATTTTATTCAGCACGCAAGGGCCAATGGGATTCCAATTTCCAATCGGTATTTGGCTCAACAGCAGCAGCAGCATCATCAACAACAGCAACAACAGTCACCCGTTATGGATTCGGCTTCGTTACCTGAAACGATGTTTTTATCGAGCTCACCCGCGTCATTGGGGTCGTTAAATAGATCGATAGCCAATATGCACATTGGATCACCACCAGCCTCTTCATTAATGATTCCACCTCAAGCATCTAACAATAGTAATAACCGAAGATACACACCTTATACATCACCACGTAATTCATTATCATCACCTTCTTATTCATCTTCTGTACCCACTTCAGGGTACTTGTACAAAAAATCTTATGCACCCTTCACCTCGTCTGCACTTGCTACCCCTGATCGAGACGACGATACTAATCCATTTGATGACATGAACAACACAAACACTGCATCTGAAGATGCCATGAATCCTATGGAATGGACAGATCCTTCATTAGAAATCATGCTTCAACAACAACAACAACAACATCAGCATCATCAAGAACAAGGACTAGGGCAAGGTAATAATAAATAGAGAAAGCATGTGTGTGTCTGGGCTTATCATTGACAAATCTACGGTTAAAAATAGAATCTGCGCCTAAATTTACAGATGAAGAGCTTTTAACATTTTTAACAAGCCAAGGGTTTGACATGAACAACAACAGCCATTATTTTCATTCACAACAAGAAGAGCCATTAATGTTTAATAATAGTAATCGTGACCATCACTTTAGTCATCACTAAAACAAGATCCCCCTTTCCCGCTTGTTTGCATTATAATAGATATTACAACAAAAAAGTGTCATTAGTTGCCATAGCAATAGCCATCATCATAGTAACCTTAATAGAAATTTTATTTAACATAAGATTGGTTTTGTGTAATTGTAGCACAAATTCTAAGATATTCATTCGAATTCACACACAATAGGCCTTTAACATTGACACTGAGAACAGGTCACATGTTTGATTGTTCTTTTTTCTTTTATTTTTCTTTTTCTTTTTTTCTTTGTAATATATAAAACATATGGGAACCAAAGTATCAATTCCTCACAGCGTACTTCATTCTGCTCGAAAAAGATCATCCAGAACAATATCTAAGCGTGCTTCTTCTACTGAACATGAACAAACTTTGACCGATCACTCGGGTGATTCTCGAGTATCATCCACTACAGTCGATTTATCCCTATTATGCTTCAATGCTCATCAAAAGACAGCGAGTGATCGAATGACATGCGTACGTTTTATAATATTAGCGAATATGATGTACAATTGTTAATACGTGTATAGAATCATTTTGCATTAAAGGCCTTATTTGAAGGGTAAAGACATATAAGAGAAAAAGAGAGATCATGGTTAACCCTTTTTTAATCAGAAATGTTATGTCCGTTATTAAGCAACATATCGACCTCAATTCAACATCAACAGTCGTACTGGATATTGGCTGTGGGTCTGGAAGCTGGGTGATGGTAAGTGATACCCTTTTTTTGTCTTTTACTATAATTGGCTAATATATGCATGTATTTGAAAGGATATGGCCACTGAATACCCAAGTGCTCAATTCATTGGGATTGATCAGCTACCACTCTTTCCTCATGACATTAGACCAGCCAACGTGACATTTAAACAAGCAGACGTACTGACGGGACTTCCGTTTGAAGATAACACGTTTGATTTTGTACAAATGAGATTATTTTTACTTGCATTCAATCGACAGCAATGGTTGGATGCATTAAAGGAAGTACATCGTGTGTTGAAACCTGGTGGCTTCATACAACTGGCTGAGCCACAATTGATGGTAACCCGAACCCTTGGCACCTGAATCCCCACGTTCTGATTTTTACAATAGGATCCTGGAGATGACCTCATAGTGGACTATACGCATAAAAGTAAACAGCAGGCAGATTTTTCACTTTAATAGTAATATATTGATTCTATTTATTCATAGTCAAAACTGTGATGGAATTTAATGGTTTTGATGCTGAAGTGTGTGACAAACTTCCCCTCTTGTTGGAAAAGACACAATTCATACCAGTAGAAAATATACGAAAGGCAGTTCCACTAAGTAGTGTGCATAAAACATCCTGTCTCTTTATACTTATCCCCTTGTTGTAGATGGTCACATGCTCTCTGATGAATTCCTGTATATAGCCGATATTAGTGTAGAATCATGTAAACCATTCCTGATGGAGATACATAATATGCATTCAGATGATGAATTCATGGAATTGAAAAGAAATTATCTAGAAAGTAGAAAGAATACATCCGAATCTGCCTTTACTTATGTTGTAGGTCAAAAGCCTCATTAAATAATAATACCCTTGAATGATCTTTTTACTGCTTCCTCTCTCTCTTTATTTAAACCATGCCATCATATAAGTTCAATGCTTGTAAGATGGTTGGGTCCTTCTTTGATCCTTCTTTGAATTCCTCCATGGATAAGCGATCATCTTTATCCTAATGAACGTGATGTGTGTTATTGTTAAGCAATTAGAACATTGATATAATAAACACGTACTGTATCCATCAGGTCAAATATCTTCTTGACACGCTTCTCAGGTGTATCCTCATCTGGTGGTAATTTGACCATACTGCCTACCATTTTATAAATTGCATCTACGATACGAAGCATTTCATCACGAGTGATATATCCGTCGTTATCAATGTCGTATAACTAGGAAAAAGCATTAAGATGTGTGTGAAAACATGGTACAGATATAATCATTTACTTGAAATGCCCCTATGATTGTTTGTTTTAGCTTTAATTCATCCATTTTTTTCTCTTTTTATATACTCACAATAAAGCTTTTCATCTACTCTTCCTCTACTAGTAACAGATAAAGCACAAATAAACTCTTTAAAATCGATAAATCCATTTTTATCTCCATCAAATACATTAAACACATAGTCTGCAAAACGAGAAGGATCACCAAAAGGGAAAAACTGTTTGTATATCTTTTGAAATTCGGTCTTGTCGAGCTGTCCTGATGGGCAATCCTTTAGGAACCCTTTATACCTTTTTATTATTATGTCTCATTAGTCCCTTTTTTCTCATTGCTTTATTGTGCCAAGACATCTCTTACCATTGCTGTAATTCCTTCTTTTCAACTTTTATATATATTATTTAATACATATATAGATGCATATTAAATATACTTACAGTAAGTAGACTTTTGAAGATCACTCAGTTGCTCAGGACTAAGCTTACTTTTAGCATTTCCCATTTTGATATAAAGAAAATAGAGAAAGAAAGAAGAAAAAAAAAAAAAAAAGAAAAAGTAGAAATAATAACTAATTGTCCTGCCTTCTTTTTTTGGGCCACGGTGTGTTTTTTTTTTGGGTGCAACAACAAACTATTGTCGATCACACGTACAAATTAAACAGAAGACAAGCCA